AGTTTGATAAAGTTATTTCGCATTTCACCCTCGAAATTTCTTCAATGCTTCGATCAATTGAAACACGTTTTAGCCTATTTTGTAGAGGAGATTTACAACTTTCAAATAGTTTATAACATTCATCGATATCAGGCTTCTATCTTCTAGTTCTAGACTTCTAGTTTTCCCATGAAATGATCTCAACTCTTAATTATTTTGAATGATATTTGAATGATTTTGAATGAAGGATGATCATTTTCCACTAGTCAAAACCGAAGCTAACTCTATTTTGACCCCACTAAACTTGTCCCTAAAGTGACTCGATTCCTTTTTTTGGTCACTCGCATTTCGCCCTCGAAATTTCTTCAATGCTTCGATCAATTGAAACACGTTTTAGCCTATTTTGTAGAGGAGATTTACAACTTTTAAATAGTTTATAACATTCATCGATTCTAGTTTATAGCAGCAGGTTTCTATCGTTGCAAATTTATGAAAATTTATGAAAAATTCGCATTTCTTATGCATGTACCGAATATTTCTCGTATTTTATCAACTCTTTGGTAGAGATTGCTCTAGAAATAGCTCTGCTTTTTGCTCTATAAGTTTTCTAGTGTCGATGAACCACAAAACCTTCAAACACACTGGCGGATCATCTTTTTTTGTCTTTTCTAAACTTTACGAGAAAGCTGACTCACTCAGTCATTCAAAAAAAACATTCAAAAAGGCGTGCCTCCTTTGCCGCTTATCAAAATCTCTCGGCTTCAAAGAAAAAGAAAAAGAAATTTACTAAAATTTGAAATTTCAATTTCAAAATGTCCCTATTCCATTCACTAATCCCATTTTTTTTCCTTATCATTAATGTTTCTCCAGAAACTCTCCTTTCCGAGACAATCAAGCTCAAAGATGCTAAAATGATTGAAAAATCGAAAATTTTGGATAATCATTTCAAAAGATTCGATAAAAGTGAGCTTTTTCATTCGTGTTTTGCAATTTTCAAAGATTTTCTGACGATTTTTCATTTTCAATGATGGAATTGAAAGCTTTCTTTTGAAAAATTTGAAAATTTCTGATTTTTACTGAAGTTTATAGATTTATTCTTTATTTTTCTTTTTAATTTGCTTATTTTTTTAATTATTTTTCATAAATTAGCGCAAATCCAGTCGAAAACGTCGTCCGGTTGAATCATAAAAGTGCATTGGTTGCGTAGAGTAAACTGAATGATTTTGAAATTCAATTCCATCAAAACTTTCATTGAATTCACTGAATTTTCAAGTTTAACATTGAAATTTCTTTTTTCTTAGCTAAATAAACTTTTGAATTTATCTTTTAAAGCTAAAAATAGCTTACTTTTAAATTTGGGAAATCAGCAAACATCGGAAAATGACCGCGATCAAGTTGAATCGCTCCCGGTCGATCCTAAATAGATTTATGTTTAAAAAAACTGTAATAAGAAAAGGTTTTCAAAGTATAACTTAAACTTTCCTTACCGTAAATACTGTAATAGTACCCCAGCCCCATAATGACGGTGCGGAGCGGTGCGTAGTCTAGCTTTGAACGAGTTTTTCTCGATACTGGTTTATGCTACAATGCTCGCTTAGGTATCAAAAAATAGCTGAAATTCAGGGCTATTTTTTGATACCAAAGACGCATTTTTTGAAAGTACAGGTGCTTTGAAAAAGCTTGAAATACTAAAAAACTTACGACTTACGACTGCGACTACGCGACTGTACGAGGGCGGTGGGGTACTATTACAGTATTTACAGTAAGTTACATTACATGTGTTTATTACAATTTATTACAAGTAAAATTTACAATTCTGTTTGCTAAAATCAAGCATGGCGCCTTTGAGAAATGGCGAAAGCGCAGCACACGCCGTAACTCGTTTTTTGCCTCAAATATTTCTGATTCCCTCCGTTTTGTTGAATCTACCTAAAAGATTTAGATTTTAACTTTTTTATTTGTATGTATGTATAATTGTACAACTCTTAACAGTACATCTTATCATTCTTAATCGTATGCCCACACTAGACATGAGAAAATTCCAAGCCGAACCTAATTCCACCGTCGTTTTCTCAGCCGTCTCTTCGCCAATTCCTCTGAAATTTTGTCTACAAGTAGAGAATTCTAATTTCTATTTGTGAGCAAAATTTCAGAACAATTGGCTAAGAGACGGCTGAGGAAACAAAGGTGGAATTTGACTTTAGATTTAGATTCGGCTTCGACTTTTTCCGTCTAGACTTCTAGACGGGTTATGGTAGAAGGCAAGGCAAAGTTCATTCTTTAGAACACTGACAACTTAACAAGCTTTATTTATTTCCCCTTTGATCAACTTTAAAGCAAGATTAACAAAGGTTTTTTCGTGTTCTGACTCTCACAGACGCCACTTTGCTGAGCAAAAATCACATGTAAATGTAAAGAGTAACCAGGATTTGTTTCTTGAAAAGCAGAAGCTAAAAAATGCCTACCGTAAATACTGTAATAGTACCGCACTCCCATAATGACGGTGCGGAGCGTTGCGTAGTCTAGCTTTGAACGAGTTTTTCTCGACACTGGTTTATGCTACAATGCGCGTTTAGGTATCAAAAAATAGCTGAGATTCAGGGCTATTTTTTGATACCTAAGCGAACATTGTAGCATAAACTAGTGTCGAGAAAAACCCGTCCAAAGCTAGACTACGCAACACTCCGCACCGTCATTATGGGGCTGGGGTACTATTACAGTATTTACGGTAATAACCTCCATTATTCTACTAGTTTCTACTTCTGACTCATCAATGACATCATCGAGTTTCCTTTAACTTTAAAAAATTGAAACTTTTTCCTATACAGCCTACAATGAAATGATCCACGGGTAATGTGAAAATCGATTTCCAAAAAAAATCTAAAAAATACCAATTTTATATGCTTATATGCTATCCAACTAAGAAAAATGCAAAGTTTCATAAAAATCTGTGAACTCAAAAAAAAGTTAATAAGATGAACACGTTTGCAGGTTATTTTTTTCAAAAACGGCAACATTTCAACCGTGAATTTCTCACGTTAAAAGCACTAACGATTTAAAAAAAACATTTTACTTTCAATTTTCGCTTAAACATAACGAAAAACACGATAAAAAGAAAACAAAAAGAATAAATAATAAAAAAAAAACTAATTAACAACAATTTTTTCAGTATCTAAAAGTAAAATATTAATTCGAAAATGCTTTTTTCAAATGTGATTCAATTTTTGTCAACTTTTATCACAAGTTTTTACCTGTTTTTTCTATCGAATAGATGTAAAAATAGCATGGAAACGTGTTCACCCTATTAACTTTTCTTCAAGTACACAGATTTTAATGAAACTTTGGATTTTTCTTTGTTGGATAGCATTTAAAAATTGGTATTGATCAAATGTTCGATAACCCTTATGGAAAGCTATAAGATATCGAAAGATATAAGAAATGGAAAGCTAGAAGATATGGAAAGCTATAAGATATGGATAGCTATAAGAGATTGAAAGCTATAAGATATGGAAAGCTATAAGATATCGAAAGCTATAAGATATGGAAAGCTATAAGATATCGAAAGCTATAAGTTCAAAGTTTGAGTACAAGTGACAAATCGGATGTACTTGTAGCTCCTACGGACATCAATTTACATTTTAACCCTCATACATCTCCTCTTTACCACAAAAATGATCGCTTTTCTCTCAGTAGGTTCCTCGTTGAAATTCCATCGTCGATACTCGGCACTTGATCCCTCAATGAGACGAATGTTGTAAGATTTATGAGAAAAGCGATAGACTTTTGGGGCTAAACTTAATCTTCACTAATGGAAAATAAGTTTAATAGGGTATTTCCCTTAAAACCTCACAAGCGTAGTTGCTTTGATATTGTTTTCCCCTCAACAATGCCTGGATTGTCGTCTGTTTTCCGCTTTCCTCCAATCCCCAAACGAAAATGTCAAGTGGTTTCCCAAAAAAACAATAATAAAATTCTTTGAGCAGTGAATAAAGCCAAGAAAAAAGCATTAAAGATTGAATTGTTGAGAAAATATTGTATTTATGTTTCTTATCAAAGACGCGTCATCCCAAAAAAAAGACAACGGGGAAGAGTTTTGTTTGCGGGAAACACGTTTCGTAAAATTTTACATATAAAGACTTGCAATTGAATAGGATTGAACAGGATTACACTCAGCTCATCTCAGTTCAACTCTGTCCAATTGTAAAAAAACCAGTCAATCCCACATTAGCCTAAAAGCTGGGTCAAGCTCAGCTTCGAATCCTGTCAAGCTCAGCTTCGAATCCCGTCAAGCTCAGCTTCGAATCCTGTCAAGCTCAGTTTCGAATCCTGTCAAGCTCAGCTTCAAATCCCGTCAAGCTCAGCTTCGAATCCTGTCAAGATCGTTTTAAATGACTCAAAATCTATTTTAAAGCCATACAAATGCTTAACACTTAGAAAATGTCAGAAATCCTTAAACTAATCAAAAAAAAGAGCTTTAAAGATTTGACAGCTTGACTTGACTTGACTGAAAACGGCTATTTACAACTCTGGATTCATATCTCGATAGAATCTAAGCTGACCAGCTTTGAGTTTAAGTTTTGTTATAAATATTGAGTAATGTATCACATTAATAAACTGGAAAAATTTTCAAGCGAAAAGCTCCGTGAAAGCAATCGTTACAAGTTAGCTAATCGTTACAGAGTCGGCGCAGTACACAGTCGCAGTAGCAATCGTTACCATCGGCACCCAGGTTTAGACTCGATTTGCGATCACTTTTTGACACTAAAGTCCCCAATAATCAATCCGATTCAAAAATCTTTTTCCACTATTTTGTAGACGAGATTCATGGCTTTCTAATAGTATACAAGAATTATTGGCTTAGACTTGCAATCTTTTGATTTTTAGAAAGATATTTGAGCGCTGGAGCGCGCCAAAAAGCCAAAAAGCCAAAAATAGATCAGGGTTTAGCCTGACAAATCGACTTTTCCTTAAAAAAGCTATTAAATAAAATTCCAGACGTTAACGGAACCGCTAACTACAATATGTGTGAAACAAAAGCAATCGATTTGAATGGAGACACGACGAAGGAAATTTCCGACAGTTTTCTTTACACCTTGGACACGCTCAATTGTGGAAAGTGAGTTTTTCTTAATTCTCATTGTTCGAAAATTCTTTTGAAATCAACATCACGACGATAAAGATCCCCAAAATCGTTCATAAAAAGTCAGTAATTTGACGTCTATCCGATAAGTACATGTAACCACTTATCGAATAACTGTCAAACCACCGATCATTTATTGACATTTGAGAATGGGAGAAGATAAAAAAAGAAGAAAGAAAGAAGAAAGAAAGAAAGAAGAAAGAAAGAAGAAATAAGAAAGAAAGAAGAAATAAGAAAGAAAGAAGAAATAAGAAAGAAAGAAAGAAAGAAAGAAAGAAAGAAAGAAAGAAAGAAAGAAAGAAAGAAAGAAAGAAAGAAAGGAAAAAGAATTGGAAATGGATATGAAGATAATTACAGGCAGATAGGTCAATGGGTTGGGGAAAGGGGATAACCAATGACCAGTGAGACGTAAAAGTTCTTTAAGACTCTGAGTTCTTTTTTTTTAATCAGTTCTTCATTACGTATAAGATTTCGTTAAATTTTTTTTACTTCTTACAAGTTTTGCAAACACTTTAGCTCGCCTTGGCTAGGCTTGGCTTTTTCAAAGATTAGTCATTTAGAAAGCTACCGTACTCAAAGCGAATTTTGACCCAATTTGTTTAACCAATTGTATGATTAGCCGAATTGCTCATCGAATGATATCAAAGAATTGAGTTGATTGAATGAAAATTGGGTCAAAAATTGGGCAAAATTGGGTCAAATTTAGTGAAAATTGGTCATCATTGATCAAAATTGAATCAAAATTGGTCCAAATTGAGTCAAAATTGATCCAAATTGGTCCAAATTGGGTCAAGATTGGTCAAGCTTGGTCCAAATTGAGTCAAAATTGGTCCAAATTGGTCTAAATTGGGTCAAGATTGGTCAAGCTTGGTCCAAATTGATCAAAATTGGTCCAAATTGAGTCAAAATTGGTCAAAATTGGTCAAAATTGGTCAAAATTGGTCAAAATTGATCAAAATTCCCTTGAGTACGGTATTTTTATAAAATTTGTTTTTTAGAGACTTCGTTAGCTATTTTACCTTACTAGTGAATGTTTTGCAGAATCCCATTCATTCAGAACCGTTTGAATTGAAGTTTTGAGCTCAAATCCTACTTCAAATTTCATAAGTGATTTTAGAAATTTCACAATTCTTCTCTTTCGAAACCCGCTCGGCTATCAAGTAGATGCATCACTTAATGGAATAAAAATCGATTTATTCAAGGAGTAAGCCTTGAAAATTTTCAAGCTACTTATACACAAAGTTCAGCGTTCAAAACAATCTCACATCTCTGCTGCTTCCCCCCGGACAACTAATCATTCAAATCACTCAACTCGAGTCAAATGTCACTAGTTTTCACATGCTTGTTTTTGGAGGTTTGTCAAAGACTTAAAACTTAGGAAAAAAAGGTTTAAGTCAAATGTCAGTTAAAAAGTCCTGACACTTGACTTAGCCTAAATGTATGCAAGCAGCTTAGACTGGACTTAGCTCAATTTAAACAGGCTCCAGATTGCAATTTAAACAGCTTCCAGATTGCAATTTAAACAGCTTCCAGATTGCAATTTAAACAGGCTCCAGATTGCTCACCTCTGGGTTTGAAATGTAAATTGCAAATGCAAATTCAAAGCAATTTCAATTGCTTTGAATTTCTGGTCTTAGCCAAACCCAAATCAAATTCTTTTTCCTTTCTAGACACCCTCAACTATTCCATTCACTCGAGTAGAAATATCCAACCGGACATCGGCCCGTGGACAGTTTCTCCATTGAAAGCCGGTGATAAAGGAAAATATTTGATCTATCAAGTAAATCACTTTTCTTTTTTGATCAATGAATTAAAATCCAGGGTTCAAGCCTTACCTCACCTATACAAGTTGGGATCGAAATCAGTGTGATGGGCGATTGCCCGATTCGTTTATGGAAAGGATACAATGAAATCAATAGTGCTTTACTTTATGGGTTTGTTACAAATTGTAAACAATTGTAAATTCTACAAAAAAACTTTAGTGGAATTGGAACGATTTGTGGCCGAAATTTCTATCGCAGTGTGAAACCAAGATTTATTTTTGATCGCTATCTAATTGTCGAGACTGACGGGACAAGCACAAGCGATTGCAATGTTACCGTACATACGGTGAAACTAAGTGAGATTAAAATGAAAAGTTTCATTTGATTAGTTTAAGAAAACCTTTTATACACTTTCAATTAGCTCATGGCATTTGGCTTTAAATCGTTTTCTATTGGGTTGGTGAATTGAGAACTGCAGGCTATTGTCCTATGTGAAAGTTTGAGCACTTTCTTCAAAAGAAACCCATTTTGGTGTCAATGGAAAAGTTGTAGAGAATCAAAAATCAAGCTTATATCCAAATTTTCAGAAAGATTCAAAAACTAGTTTTCAAGAAACGGCAAATTGACGAATTTTCACAAAACTTGCATTTTAGACGAAACTACTAAGTGTATCTTTTGGAAATTTGGCTATAAGCCTAATTTTTGATTCTCTACAACTTTTCTATTGACACCAAAATGGGTTTCTTTCGAAGAAAGTGCTCAGACTGGGACATCTCCAGTCCTCGACAAAGCAAAATCTTGCCACGAGAGAGGAATCCGCAAATTGCCTGCAAATTGCCGCAAAATGGGCAGAATTCGTCAATAATAATGGAAATTATTTGGAATGAATTCATGGTTTTATGTTCAATAAATTTTAGTTCAAAGTCCCGCAGTTTTCACCAACCCAATAAAAGAGGAAATCTGTTAGAGAATTTACTTTTTATCTAAATAATAACTATTAGGTTGATGCAAAAGTCTTTTTCATTTTTTTTTCGTACTTCTGTTAAAAAGTAACAAATTCACCAATTAATCTATAGTTTGCTCTATAAAAAAAGTGTTTTTTTGTTCAATTTGCATCTTTTTAAATGAATTTCGGTTCACTTTCAAGCAAATTCGAGAGTGAAAAACGTCTTTTTCGTAAAAATCTATAAAAAACTCTACGGAAAAATTGGCTGAATGAATTTCTCTGAAATTTTGGCGAAATATCAAACGTTTTTTTTCTCTATCTTTTATCTATTGACACGAAGATAGGTTTTCTTTAGCTAAGGTGTCTAAACCGCTCAGGCTCAGGCTCAGGCTTAGGCTGAGGCTTAGCCTGGGCCTGAGCCTGAGCCTGAGCCTAAACCGCATCATCGAGTTAGCCCTTTTTGACTACCCGACTTCATACTCTCAAGAAAATCCAGGCATTAAATATTTTTAAACCCGTTTTAATGTTATTTTGCAGAAAAATAATTGCTTTTTCTAATGAAATCAACCGTAGTTTAATTGGTGCATTTGTTGGCTTGAAACGGCAGACGAAAAAAAATGAAAAAGACTTTTGCATCAACCTAATAATAACAAGTTGCAAAACTGACTAGCTCTAAAATAAACAGCCTTAGTTGCTAACTTTTGGCGCATCCTCCATACAGTCCGGACCTCGCCCCTTCTGATTAATATTTATTCCGGACCATGAGTAATGAGCTTTCGAGAGAACACTTTGATCCGGAAGAAGCAGTCAAAAATTGGCTTTGAAAGTTTTTCGATTTAAAACCAAAATCCTACTACGAAAGAGGAATCCGCAAATTGCCTGTGAAATGGGCAGAAGTCGTCAATAATAATGGAAATTATTTAGAATGAATTCATGGTTTCATCTTGAATAAATTTTAGTTCAAAATCCGGCAGTTTTCAATTCACCAACCTAATAAAAAAGTTTTTGCCGTTCTTTAAATCGTTTCCTCCAGAAAAAGCTACTGTAATTCAATTGGTGACTAGAAAATAATCACATTCTAACTCTTGAGTTAGTTGGCGCAAAAAAACAAGCTTTAAAGTTCTAAAAACAGCCGAAACAAGCAGCTTTATCTAAGTAGATAAGAGGAGTTTCGCTAACGAAAGTCCGCTTTACAGCAAAAACCTATCCACCAGCGTTTAGCTCAGCTTTTAAGGCCTATCTTTTCCTAGATTCCACACGACACATCAATTCCGCTGACGTTCTGACATTCCCCGCTTGGACAGTACAATCCACCGATCAATCATTCACCTATCATCTAGCAAATATCATGGGACCAACATGGATCAATTTAAATTTAATGACACCATTGCCTACGGGGACAACACTGACTATTGATGATCAAACGGGGAGTGGAAAGAGGTGGGACTTTGACGTCACTTATTGTGAGTCATTAAAGTTGAACTTAAAGTTGAATAAGGTTAAAGCAAGAATCGTCTAAGCTAGAATAAAATGGCATAGTTCTGAGAGTAAGTGATCCTCTTGGCTCAGATCTAGAGCTGACAGGCTAGATCTGACAAACCTGCACAGCAAATAGGGCTGAAATTAAGCTGGGAACCAAATTGCTTTCAATTTATAGCTTGAAACTTTCAGAAACGTAACCGATTGCTCATTTCAAACGGATTCGCTATACGCTATCGTGGAATACTCGTGGAAATGCTCACCGGGATTATCGTGCGATGAAGGGCCTCTTTTGAGGTAGGATAGAGGGATTACTGTAGAGCCCTGCCCCAAGGCTATAATTGGCTGCCTGGGTGAGGCTAGTTATTGATTAGTGTTTAGCAAATCAAGATCGGAATCTCTAATTATAAGAAAAAGTAAATGTTACGCGTTTCGAAAACCGCTTTTTTTGACTACTTTCAAAACTGCATTATCGTGCTTAAAACCGAGTTTAAAACTTGGAAACTAACTAAGAAATGGTCGGATATTGCAAGCGCGAATTCGATGACTTTCTATGACTTTATCTGACGGTTTTGTGTGAATTTTTATATGATTTAAGCAAATCGGACACGGGAAACACGATGGCGTTTTGAGTTTTTGCCAAAAACGCTCTAGATTTCTGTAGAAATGTTTTGAACTGAGCCAATTTTCACGATTACCAATCTAGGGGTTCCTTTCCGTTTTCGTCATTGTTTTTCAGAACAATGCTTTACAAAAGGATCCAATCAAAGCTAAAGATACTCAAAAACTACTCAAAATACAACTTTACTGCTTAAATGACTTAAAACAAAAAAGACGGGATCCGAGGGGAACCGAACTTGGATGCCAAGAGTGAGGGACAACGGCACTACCACTGTGCCACCGATCGACTTGTGCCTTTCGCGATGATAACCGTTATAAGCTCAGAAGTTGCTCAGTGAAGGCGAAATTTCAAATACGTTTTTACAGAAATCTAAAGCGTTTTGGCAAAAACTAAAAGCCCCATCGTGTTTCCCGTATCCAATTTACAAAAGTTATAAAGCTTTTGTTCAGATTCGCGCTTGCGAAATCTAGAAATCGATCTATAAATCGATCTATAAATCGATCTAGAAATCCATCTAGAAATCCATCTAGAAATCCATCTAGAAATCGATCTAGAAATCGATCTAGAAATCCATCTATAAGGCGTTTTCCCTAAAAAATCTGTCAATCGAAATTGTAAGGTGTTCTTAATGAAATGTTTTCGAAACTAAAGTACTAAGGTTCAAGTTTTGTTAGTGATAAAGTAAAAATCCAAAAGTAGACTATGAAAGCAAGGATTTCTCGGGCTAAAACTCACGATCAGGCTCGATCCCTGCACTTTTAAGTTGATGGATTGAGTGCCAAGTCTGGCCAAATCCCTTTTACCAACGATAAACAAGAGTAATTGTAAAATTGTACCCAATAGCCTCTAGATTAAATTCAGATATTCCGTTGGAAGTGATGATTTCTTCTCGACAACCCCCAGTCCATCACCAACTTCGCGGCAAACGACCATTTCATCGGCCACTTCTTCCACCATCCAAACGACCACAAAAACCTTTAGCCAATTCAAATTTATCATAAGCTTTATCGTTCTAATTTTAAGCCTAACATTTTTCTAAAATTATAGATTGAAAACAATTTTAAAACAAGAATATCAACAATAAAATTTCTAAGAAGAAAAAGAAAGAATTCAAATTTGAACAAAAACAGATTTTAGGTAATGAAAAAAGATAGTTAAAAATGTTATTCTGATCGGGAATACCGATTTGGGTAAATGCTCTAAGTTTAAAAAGTTTATCCTAACTAAATCTTGTCATAGTTTGATTTTTTTCTATAGTTTTTCTCTAGTTAAAGTAGTTATAGCTATGGTACAAGCTATGGTAAAGGTTACGAGAAGACAAGACAAGTCAAGGGTTACGGTAACAGCTATTAACAGTAACAGCTATTGTGCTATGGGCTACAAAATAACTGGTACAAGTTGTGTAGGGGCTGTATTACAAGAAGTTACAAATTACAGCCTCTGTACTAGTAATTAGGCTGAGTTACGGTCGACGAGTTAGCAATCGTAGGAGTTAGCAGTAGACGGTAGACGGGTTGTGCTGAGTTACGGTAGAAGAGTTAGCATTAGTAGACGGTAGACGAGTTAGCAATCGTAGGAGGTAGCAGTAGACGGTAGACAGGTTGTGCTGAGCTACGGTAGACGGTAGACGGGTTGTGCTGAGCTACGGTAGACGGTAGACGGGTTGTGCTGAGCTACGGTAGACGGTAGACGGGTTGTGCTGAGCTACGGTAGACGGTAGACGGGTTGTGCTGAGCTACGGTAGACGGTAGACGGGTTGTGCTGAGCTACGGTAGACGGTAGACGGGTTGTGCTGAGTTACGGTAGACGGTAGACGGGTTGTACTGAGTTACGGTAGAAGAGTTAACAATCGTAGGAGTTAGCAGTAGACGGTAGACTCGGTAGACGAGTTAGCAATCGTAGGCGAACGAGTGAGATCATAGCTCTTTAAAGCTGAGATTTTGAACGACTTTACAAAGCAAGGGTTTTATTGGAATACGAGAATAAGTAGGACAAGTTGACTACTGATTCAAAGTATAGACGCCCAACAAAAGTCCACCGCTTTCCCCCTTCACTAATGAGCTACCGTAATCCCAGACATATCCCGTTTATCCTAAAAGCACTGTGGCGTGAAATCGGTTTCCAGGAAAGAACTTGAATAGTTCCAGGAAAGTTCTTCATTTGGAAACAAGTACTGTAGGAATTTACGTAGATTTTAATGTCAAAAAAAAGATCAAAAAATCAAGAAAGAAACATGTGACGGACAATCGTAATTAGCGGGTTTTTTTTTGAGAAGACAAAGCGATAATCTCTTACCGTACTGCTCAAAGAAAAATGACAGGTATTTAATCGCTTTCGATATAGTTTTTTGAGAAGAGATTTGTGTTTTTTTTTAGGTTTTTATTAAATTTGAATATCACTAACTAGGGATGCTTTTCGATTTACGCCTGGCTTTTGAGCTTAGACATAGTTTTTCTGGTGCAGTTTTTTACGCTGATTCCGAATATCTAGGTCATTTGGGGATGACGCGTTAAAGTTCCCAAGATATTCAGCTCCAAAGTTTACAGAGTGCATGAGCGACTTGTCGACAGAAGACAAGTTTAAATGGCAATTAAGTTACAGTAATTTCTAAGAGTTTAAAACTCGTAAAGCTTAGATAATTGATCTATTAGGTTGATGCAAAAGTCTTTTTCATTTTTTTCGTACTTCTGTTAAAAAGTAACAAATTCACCAATTAATCTATAGTTTGCTCTAAATAAAAAGTGTTTATTGTTCAATTTCCCATCTTTTTGAGTCAATTTGGGTTCACTTTCAAGCAAATTTGAGAGTGAAAGCCTGTTTTTCGTAAAAACCTATAAAAACCTCTAAGAAGAAATTGGCTGAATGAATTTCTCTGAAATTTTGGCGAAATATCAAACGTTTTTTTTCTCTATCTTTTATCTATTGACACGAAAATAGGTTTTCTTTAGCTAAGGTGTCTAAACCGCTCAGGCTCAGGCTCAGGCTTAGGCTGAGGCTTAGCCTGGGCCTGAGCCTGAGCCTGAGCCTAAACCGCATCATCGAGTTAGCCCTTTTTGACTACCCGACTTCATACTCTCAAGAAAATCCAGGCATTAAATATTTTTAAACCCGTTTTAATGTTATTTTGCAAAAAAATAATTGCTTTTTCTAATGAAATCAACCGTAGTTTAATTCGTGCATTTGTTGGCTTGAAACGGCAGACGAAAAAAGTGAAAAAGACTTTTGCATCAACCTAATACTAAACTATCCTAGTTTCCTGTATAAATCAAAAAATTGTAAAGTTTTGACAAAAACAGCCCCTTCCATTGCTCAGAAATTGAAATTCCAAAGTTAAATTTTGCTAGAATCCAAATTTCTCAACAATAATAGTACTTAGTATTGCAATTCTTGTAATTTCTATTTTCTACGTGTCCAATTCAATTCTTAATCTTTGCCCAATTATAAATCCAAAAAGAGAATCCCCAAAGTGATGAAAAATTTGGTTTTTGTAAATTTAGTCACCCAAGAATGCATTCCAATTGTTTTTAAAAGTGAAACTTGAAAAAATTGACTTATTTAGGGTATTTTCTTCAAAAATTCTTTTAAAAAATGGACAGCGACAAGCAAACGGTAATGGTTTACACAAATAGCTTCATAGGAATCGCCTGCAATTTCCTGTTGCTCTATTTGGTACTCGCCGATACATCGGTGAGCTTGAACTTTAGAAATAGCAATTTAAGCTTAATATTGAATCAAAAAAAAGCATAATAGGCTTTTCTGAATAAAAAAAAAAGCATAACAAGCTTTTTTGAATCAAAAAACGATTTCAGAAGCACAATGTCGGATATAAAAACATGCTTGCGATCGTCACCGCTTATAATATCTATTATGCTTCTTTACATCCAATACTTGACATGGTAAGCGTTTAGTTTTTATTGAATATTAGGAATTGATTAGTTGAATATTAATAATTGCTAATTGAAGATTGATAATTGCTAGTTGAAGATTAATCTCAATGTTTAAAAACAGATTTTTGCTGAAAACCAAAGTCAGTAGAAAGTTAAGCTAAAGAGGTACCTTTGTAAGCTATAAAATACTAGTAAACGGAAAATACTGTAACTAAACGTAAATACTGTAACTAAAATACTGTAATAGTACCCCATCGCCCTCGTACCGTCGCGTAGTCGCAAAAGTTTTTTAGTATTTCATTTTTTTTTCAAAGCACCCGTACTTTCAAAAAGTTCGTCTTTGGTATCAAAAAATAGCCCTGAATCTCAGCTATTTTTTGATACCTAAACGAGCATTGTAGCATAAACCAGTGTCGAGAAAAACTCGTTCAAAGCTAGACTACGCAACACTCCGCACCGTCATTATGGGGCTGGGGTACTATTACAGTATTTACGGTAGGCATTTTTTAGCTTCTGCTTTTCAAGAACCAAATTCTAGTTACTCTTTACATTTACATGTGATTTGTGCTCAGCAAAGTGGCGTTAAACGGCAATATTAAATTGTTTAAGAAATATTGAATTCTCTAAAATCTTTTAGGGCTTTCTCATCGATGAATACGGTTTCGTCATGTTTAGCAAGCATTTCGCTGATTTTGGTTACTGGGCCTCGTACTTGGCGATTATGGTGAATCAACTTATCCAGAATCAACCAGAACCAGAATCAACCAGAACCCTTAACTACTTTTTTGGATCGGCCGATTTTGAGGGGTTGAAAAATAGAACGACATGCCATTCTGATACAGCATTTACGGGATACTAGATTTATAACAGACAATAATCTCTTCAGATACCTGTACAACCAAAGTTTTCCCCATTTAGGTTTACATGGATGCGTTCAACAAATCGTTGACCCTTCTCGCTATTCACTGCTTGTATCGATATGTGAAAGTTTCTGGGGGAGTTCTTGGGATTTATTTTTCTATTTATCTATTCTATTTTTTTTAATTTATATTAATCAATAGCTTTCTAGCTTTTCTAGAAAACGCTTCTATAGCTTTCGATCAACGAATACGGTAATCAATTTGCATTTACAGAAAATGGCGTTTCCTTTTCGATTCGAAGAAATGGATCTTCGTCCTTTTCATGTTCAATTTCGTTTTTGGACCGGCCTGGTGTGTGATCTGTCATATTTGCTATCATGTGAGTGGAATCAAAGACTAGACACTACAAACTACAAGATCAGACTGCAAACGCTCGTAGAAAAGCGTAGAATGGCAATTTTTACAAACTTTTTTTACCAAAAAATCGAGCCAACTTTGTGCTTTTGAATGACAGCAAGATGAGATCAATTCACCATCGATAACATGTTATTTATAGCAGTTTATAGTCGCGTCTCATGAGCTATGGCTACAGACCTGGAAAAAACGTTATATTTTAGCGTTGATATGGTGGATTGATCTGACCTTGGTGTCATTCAAAAGCCCAAAGTTGGCTCGATTTTTTGGTAAAAACAGTTTGTAGAAATTGCTATCCTACGCGCTTTCTACAAGCTTTAGATTCTGATTTTGTAGTTTGTAGCACCAATGTGTTGGGCTCAGTCGAATTTAAAATATCTACATAAGATCAAATTGAGCCAATAAATAAGCCAATCAATAAACCAATAAATAAACCAATAAATAAACCAAAAAATAAACGAATAAACAACTAGAAGTACTCACAAATCTCTAGAGAAACTCCGGTTTTGGGATGATCTGCTTTTGTAGAAATTTCTGTACTTGAGTGAAATTTCTGTAACAATCAGTGAATGTTCCAATAAGCTAACGAAATCCAACTTTTTTAAAGCTAAAAAAAAGAAAGAAAGCTTTCCAGTCAACTCCTGAACGAACTGAAATGAGCAAAATGGAAGCGATGAAGCGCTTCAACGTGAATTTAGAGGAAATCGGATATATTGGACCGGTGATGAAAGTTGGTTTTGCTTAACTTAACTCTAAAAAGATGTGAGTAATGTGTTTTTTAAAGGTGGTTTTTTGAGAAAGTCATTGTAAAAAGCAAAAGATCCTTTCGAATTTTGATCCCATTTGATGATTATTCAATCAAAATGTGAAAGAATACGGTAGGATTACCAAAATAAACAACTAGAAGGACTTATAAATCTCTTAGAAAATGCCAAAAAGTTTTCAGTTCTAGTTCTAGCAAGCTTTTAAACTTTTATATTATTTTTAACTTAGTTTTTGGTCATGGATTATTTTATACAATTAGAATAGTTTCAATCACAAATTCTAGTGGACTAATCCTCAAACAGGAGCCATGCAAATTCGTTGGTTTTTATAGAAAATGAACCAAACCCGTTCAGAAAAGCAACCAAATCTGTAGAGTAAGGAACCAAATTTGTAGAGAAAAGGAACCAATTCTGCATATAAGGGGACCAAACTTGTAGAGAAAAGGAACCAAATTTGTAGAGTAAGGAACCAAATTTGTAGAGAAAAGGTACCAAATTTGTAGATAAAGGAACCAAATCTGTAGAGTAAGGAGCCAAACTTGTAGAGAAAAGGAACCAAATTTGTAGAGAAAAGGAACCAAATCTGTAGAGTAAGGAACTAAAAAATTTTATATTATTTTTAACTTGGCTTTGGTCATGGATTATTTTATAAAATTAGAATTGTTCCAATCACAAATTCCAGTGGCCCAACCCTCAAACAGGAGCCATGCAAATTCGTTGGTTTAACGTTTTGGGTTCATTTGGATGCTCGTCACTTCTTTTGATTCTCTATGCGATCATTTGCTTGGGATGCGTGAGATTGTGAGAGGCTGAAATAAATCTCTATGTTCCCTTTCACAATATCACAATTCAGATATCGTTTCATCAGCACGTCGATGGTGAGTGAACGCACGAAAAAGCTGAACTATCAACTGCTTAGATTGTTGCTCATACAGGTTTTGCTTTGTTACATTGGTATTTAATTGAAACTTTCATCTTTCTTTCAATCTTTCAAAAGCTAATTCAATCAAAATTCCCTTATCACCATTAGACAATCGATTTAGACAATCGCTCCGTTGATCTTCGAGTACATTCCATGCATCATGGCGATTTGGGGAGGATTTATTGGTGAGTTATGGAGTTAAGTATGACTATAATGAATATAATGAATAAAAAGTTTTTGCGAATTTCTTTAGCTCAATAAGGGAAGCTTCTTAACTTGCTTCAAAGACTAGACAAGTTAGACCAAGTGACCAAGTTTTAGAATTGATTAGTCTGGATTGGTCTGGTAAAATGTTAACTCGAAAATCTTATCCTATTCTATTTATATTAAATTCTCTTGTGTTCGATATTCAGTAAACCCAACTGAACATCTTTTTGTCCTCTCTTTCCCCTACTGAAATCCTTCACTTGTGATTCGCAGAAGTGATTCGATCACTGACTGTACCCGCTATCGGCTCACTCTTTCTCCACATACTCTTCCTATTTTCTCGTTTTCTTTGCGGATAATAAACACGGGTTTTATCAACTGGATAGCCACAGCATGAAACTGGTAGTTCTACACCAGATTCCGAGTATAAACAACCCAATCTCGATTATTGATCTTGGATCGTCATCGTCTTCTTCTTTAGCCTGTAACTCTAGCAACTTTAAAGAGTAAAATATGCATGGATGTGCATTCAAAGCTTCAATTGAGTCAAGGAAACGGGGAGGTGGCTGTCTAACTGTCTGGCTATACTGTAGAAATGGATCTGTCTCGTGGCCGGGCTTTGGTCTAAGTCTTGAATCTAGAGCCCAATTGATTGAAGATCCTTTTTCTCAAACAATTCCAGGTATGCCTTTCGCACTCGAGTTCGGCTGGTGGATTCCTATCTGCACTTCAGCTTACTCGATCGCCGACTCGTTGATGGTGATCATTGGATTTAAAGTGAGTGAAAAGTCGGCTTTATTCTAATGTGCAAAAATAAAACGTTATTAAGATCAAAAGTTTTCTAACAAAGAGACTTTAAGCACAAAGTACATTAGAATATTACTACTTTAAAAGTGGAACTAGAACAAGCGAGGCTGACACGGTGTGTTCTAGTTTCTGAAGGTATTCAAGTCATACTCCATACTTACCTATTCAAGTTTCTAATTTGCGCTAATCTAAACATATCAATCTCTGCTTAGTTCACGAATTTTCATTTACAGGCCTATCGAGAGCGTCTTTTCGCCATCCTTCGCTTGTTTCGTTTCTCCAACAAAATCCTCTCAAATTCGGAGGCTTCTGATCACAAGACGACGAAAGGCGGACCTTCGGAAATCTATAGCTCAAATAATTAGCCTCTACAGTTACGAAAAATGAGAAACTTTCTATTTCTGGACTCTAATAAACTTTTTGATGAAACTCATTGATTCGTGAAATCCGTAAAAGTGTACGGTAATCCATAAATATTATAATTGGATAGGCACAGAAAATTTATGCATTAAAGGATTATGAAAATGAGGAAAACTAACTAAAACTTGATGTCATTAGTCCTTTTTGTCCTTTTTGATTGCTTTTTGGTTGCTTTTTGGTTGCTTTTTGGTTGCTTTTTAGTTCCTATTTGGTTCCTATTAGATTCTAATTTCTTCTCGATTTGGTTCCTATTAGATTCTAATTTTTTCTCTATTTGATTCCTATTTGGTTCCGTAAAAGTGTACTGTAATCCATACATATTATAATTGGATGGGCACAGACACTTTATGTATTAAAGGATTATGAAAATGAGGAATATGAAAAGTCCTTTTTGTCCTTTTTGGTTCCTATTTGGTTCCTATATGGGTTGGGTTTTTGTAAATGAAATTACATAGTCTTGAAACTGGATAAAGTGAACGTCTTTCTTCCTTGTCTTTCCTATTTCTGCTTTAGCAAAGCAAAGGCGCCAATAGCTCGGTCCTAAAGCATCATCAGCGACAAGCAGAAAGGTCGACGGTTCAATTCCCCTCCAAATTTCTTTGCCATTTATTGCTTTACTTTTTTTAAACGAAACGCTCTAACATTTTATCATTCATTAAGCACTTCTTTATGCTCATTTTCTATACATAGCCGACAACTTGCTACTACTGAACGCTGAACAAATTTAATCCTTTCCCACAACCTTTGAGTACCGATTTGTACACCAAAATCTGCATTTTCTATTTCCAAAATTCATTTTGGTACAAAAAGAGTCATTGATTTCATTTGCATATCTAAAAAGTTTATTTGTTTTCTTTTTGCAAAAATTTTAACCAATTTCAAAACGTTATCCTATCTTTCGAATGCTAAATCAAGTGAATCATTCATTTTTTTCCTAGAGTTTCCCAATAGAAAAGCATTCCCATTGATTTTATTGATAATTATGAGTATATATCTCACTTTGCTGTTCTTTATGTACCGAAATTTCGTTGAAAAGGTTTTATTTGAAAGATTTGAAAGTTTCAGACGTTTTAATTGTAGCAAATTTTCAGTCTAAAACAGAAATTTATAGCATAATTTATTGTAAATCTGAACAAAGATAACATTTTATCATTGATTCTATCATTGATATCATTGATAACATTTTATCATTGATTCTATAGAAATATACAATACTTATTTGATTTTGACTGATTGACCCAATGGACAACGATTGTCAAAATGTTTTCATCTAAACGAACAGCTTCATCGTAATCTCGTGCAATTTGCTGTTACTCTTTTTTTTTGGATAAAGCGGTTAAACTCAAAACCCTAGAAAACATTCAACAATTTTAGAGAAATCAAGAGAATGTTAATGATTGTCACGGTTTAAAATATTTACTATACTTTTTAAATTCTATTTTAGACACGGTGAGTGTAAAAAAAGTATTTGACGTCTTTTGCCTGCTGGCTTAGCTGCAATTTGTTCAAAATATTTGGCTTTACATTTTCCTCTAAAGGTTTTAAGTCTAGAATCTGCTTTAACACATTCATGACGAAGGTATTTTGGCGTAAAAGCACGCCGTTAACTTTTTTACTGATAATTCGCAAAGATAAACTAAGCTATTATATTCATTCGATAGCCCTGAAACTCTTCTTGAAAATTAGTACAACTTGATTGCAAATTTATCATAAAATGATAATAATAATAAAATTTTAAACAATGCAAAGAATCTGGTGCTGTTGAAGTGGAACCAAAGCCAAGATGTTTCATCAACTCAGAAGGCTAGCCCACTATCCACTAGACCACCGACGCCGTTGGAGCGTTGCTTTGTGGCGGCGACATGAAGAGTCTAAGAGAGTAAATTTAAGGGCATTTTCTATGCCAGATTCCTTGTGTTTGCGTGGGTGTTTGCAGCTAATTTTTACAGATTCAGAATCACCATAGTCGACTCTATAAGATGCACTTTGAACACGAAGCGATTCTCAACTTCGAGCTGGTGTCATTGCTATTATATCCCCTGAAAAAATTTTTGTGGCCTGAATGAGTCAATAAAAAGTTCGGAAATAAAAGTTTGTACTTTTATTACTACTTGCATCAAGCCAACACAGGGTTTATCAATCATTTAAGCATCAATCATCTTCGCAAGAAGTGGTTAAAGAAAGAATTCTTTTTAATTAATTAGATGTACAGGATCGGATGTTTAAAAAGCGATTTCTCTGGATTAGGCCAGTACAGAAATCAGCTCGATCTTAACCTTCTATGCTTTTGGATCAACTCTGCTCAATAAAGCTTGTAGTTCATCATAGTCAATAAGTTTTGCATTAAAAAAGTTAAATTTGCATTTAAATCATAGCGGATAGCTCAGTTATTCTTTAGGTTCAAAACCACGTTCAACAAATGACGCTTTGAGGCTAAAGAATAAACAGTTTTTAGTTGAAAACAAGACTGATAAAAGGGTTTACTTTAACAGAATACATACACTTATCATCATCCCTGAAAAAGAATTCTTTTTAATGAATTAAATGTACAGAAACATTGAAAACCTCAAAGTTTCTCTAAACTCTCTAGTTTCTCAACCTCAGTATTCTCTAAGCTACAAACAATGCATGTGAATCAAGATCAATGTGAGCTTACTGTATTCTTTTCAAAAAACGCATCGATGCGTAAAAGGCTACTGTAGCTTACGTAGAAGCCAAGAATAGCTGAAGATCAAAGGTGAAGAACGAAAGGGATTCAAGAGAAACAAAGAGCTAATTGTTATTCAGTGCTAATCCCTACAGTAATTTGCATACTAGACTGACATGAGACAAGGGGATAAGTATTTAATGAGAGTGCTAGATCGAGAAAGAAAACGATAACTAGATTGATCTTGGTGTTACAGTAATCTTCTTTCTTTTCTGTCTCGATTTGATTGATTGGTGACCGTTGGCGATTCTTCACACCTTGGGTGAGTTATAAATCAGTTCTGACTTTATGACACCTCAAGATTTCATAACCGATTAATTCAATAGAGGTTTTCAATAAGGTGCGTTGCAAAATGATAGGATCACCCCTAAATTTTACATTTTTTGACTGTGGAACTTAATAAAGCGAAATCGCTTTTAAATCCTAGAAATATATGCAAAAATAGGCATAAATAACGTTTTTAACGTTATTTGAATAAATTGCAACAAAATTATAACAATTTCTTTATTTAACACCTATTGCAAAATGATAGGACCACATAAAAAAATAACAATATATTTGAGAATAAAAAATTCATTAATAATCTATAAGCTCTCTTTTTCTCGATGACATCGAGTAGTCGACTTTTCATCGAGTTCACCAAGCTTTGAAGCGTTTCTGGTGGAATTGACGTCCAAGCTTTTTTTTCTTTGTGTGCCGGCTTCAGTTTTGGTGCTTTCTTTATGACTGCTCTTTTGATGTAATGGATGTAACACTTGATGGCTTGAGAAAGAGCGCTTTTGTGGACGGGAGCTCCAATTTGTACCTTGACGTCCTGTAGCGACATGACCGAATTCGACGACAGACGTCCAATATGCCGTTCAGCCCGGAACGTGCGCTTTCGATGACGTCCCGGAGACTACTTCTTGCCATACTTGAAAGGATCCTTCAAGAAATTTGCGACAACTTGGTGCGGCGCTACATTTTCTTTGCAATCTTCCGATTCGACAAGTTTCTTCCTTTCAAAATCGCAATTTTCATCTGTTCGATCCGCAAAAGCGATTTTCCACGCCCCATCTTCCTAAAAAAATAAAAATTAGCAAAAAGCAAGCAAAAAACATGGTTATTAAAGGTAGAAAATTAAAAAGAGACGACTATCATTTTGCAAAAGGTGTAAAATAAAGAAATGCTTTAAAAAATGTGGCTTTTAAAGTAAATGATTTCGTAAACCGTATTTGTGCGTACTTTTGTCTATAAAATTCGACTTTAAGCATCGTTTTGCATTTTTAGTTATTTAAAATTAAAAATCGACGGGGGTTCTATCATTTTGCAAAGAACTGTAGTTTTACAAAATTCAATAAGGAACAGCTATCCCTCGGGGGCGTGTGCCAGATGGAAAGTGATTACGCGGCCGCACAAAGAACATCTCGCCAGTCACTTTACACAGTGATTTTTCTTTTCTTCTGTACATGATTTCCAAATGAGATTTAATGTTAAAAATTTGTGCCTAGGGTTTTCAGGGTCGTAGAATCTATTGGCGGAGTTTATTTTAACCCTTTGCCCCAAGAAAAGTCTCAAGAGAATCGAATTGGCTTCGGGTTTTGCATATGACAGCTTTTCATAATGAAAAAACGGGATTTCCGAGAAGAAGCCGGGATTGGCTTGTGAATTGAACCAAAATAGCCATTGGGGTTCATCAGAAGGCAAAATTCTAGACGTATACTAATAACTTCTTATCTTATAACATGAACTAACTATTTCACATCTGACATTGCTTTGTGCAGTGAGGAGAAGCCGCAAAACATTTGAAGAACCATTCTCAGAATTCTGAATTATTTTGCTAACAAGTCTGGCTCAAGGTCACCCGTCAACAACCCAAATTTCAGTTGCAAGAGACCCTGGGGAGTGCAACATCTCCGATTTATATCAAGGCAAGATGAAAAGACGAACTTTAGTATTTTTAATTTGCAAATCTTTAAGATCAATCTCTTCAATTTATTGATAGTAACACGATAAAATGGAAGCCAAAAGGCAGACAACAATCATTTACGCAAGCAGTGCATTCGGTGTCGCTTTCAATGGACTTCTTTTGTTCTTCATCGCAACTGATCACTCGGTATCTAGTTAAACCAGAAACTTGAACTAGAATTTAAAGGATTTAAATATCTGAATGATGCTAGTGAAAATTTCAAATCTGCCACTAAATCAGGTACCTTTTTTTAGAAAAACAACGGCGGTTACAAGAAAATGTTGGCTATCGTCACCGTGTACAATATTTATTACGCGATAATGCATATTGTTTTAGATATGGTAAATTCTAAAGATCTAATTTACAAAATTTGAAATATCTTTTTATTTTTAAAAATGAACTTTTGAGGGTTTTCTCATGGACGAGTACGGTTTCGTGATGTTCAGTAAGAATTTCGCAAAAACCGGCTACTGGGGATCATACTTGGCGATTATGGTAACTTTTTTTTGGTTACTATAATATTAATTTGAGGAGTTTTAGATAGAAAAGTAGTTTTAAATTTAAAATTAAACAAATTTCTTGTAAAATTCAATTTCCCAGATCTACATGGATGCTTTCAACATGACACTCACCCTTCTTGCAATCCATTGTCTCTATCGTTTTGTGCAAGTTTCTGGGTGAGAAAATTAAAGTCATAAACGCACTGGGATACTGTATATTTTCTAAGTGCACCTTTTCAACTTTAAACTTAAAAAATAAAATCCAGATTGAAGATTAAAACTTTCGTACTTGAATTGAACTTGAAGCTAGACCATTTTCTTGAAATGACAAACTTGCCTGTCGATTTTCTAAAAGATGCCTTTAGAAAAGCCACCGTAATGCAGCTATTTTTTAAAAATTTAGATTTTTTTCTGTTTCACTGATGTTTTCAATGACACATTTCAGCAAGTGGCGTTTCATCTTCGAGAGTAAAAAGTGGATCAGCGGAATGCTGATCTTTCATCTCAGTTTCGGTCTTGCCTGGTGTATGATTTGTCATCTTGCTTTCAAAGTAAAACAAAAAAAAACTTGTTTTTAAAAGTCATTAATTTTCAGCCAACCGCCGAGCGAACCGCGTTGAGCAAAGCGGAGTTATGGCTAAAATATGAAATCGATATGGACACACTTGGGTATATTGGACCCGTGTTTAAAGTAAGAATGAAACAAGATATTTGCAAAAGCAAGCGTTTTCTAAATTGTGCTCATCGAAAAACTACCGCATTCTACCGTAGCTTAAAATGAAATAAAAATTCAATTTCACTTTCAGCTTTTAAAAAAGTTAACTTTTCAAAGTTACCTTTCAGTCAATTGATCCAATCACAAAAGAGGTGACAATTCGTTGGAAAACGGTGATGGGCGCTTTTGGGTGCCTCTCGATTCTCATTGTTCTCTACATCTCGATTTGTTTTGGGGCAATCAAATTGTGAGTTCATCTGAAGTATAAGATAATGCCTATTGTAATGACTATGAAATAAAGTGTATCAAAGCTAAATTCAGATATTGCTTTGTTCGTCGTTCAATGGTTAGCGAGCGCACGAAAAGACTACAATATCAACTGTTGCGGTTACTCTTCATTCAGGTATTGATCTCATTTCTGAAAAGCTAAAAGATGGCATTTCAAAGAACTAAAACTTTAGGCGATTTGCCCATTCATCTTTGAGTATTTCCCATGTGTGGTGGCTATGTGGAGTGGTCTATTTGGTAAGAAATTACACAGATAAGAAACTAGAAACATCTCTTATAAATTGAATTTTACATCCAAGTAGGTTTTCGTCTTTCTGGATTCGCCCTTTGGGTGCCGATGTTCACTTCAACGTACGCTTCTTCAGATGCCTTTCTTGTGATACTCGGATTTAAAGTAAGATTAACGACAAAGAATCGACACTCAATTATTTAGGCGTATCGTCAGCGGCTTCTCGATTTGAGACCGTTCAGGGGATTCGGCAAAAAGATCTATTCGCAAACAGAAAACTCCGATCAAAAGACAACAAAAGCAGCTCCTCAACCGGGAAATCATTATTGATTTGATACTTTTCAAAACTTTAGCAGCACAGAAACCCCGGTTTTTCTAATATTTTTGTGAACACCACGCACTTTAAAAAAAACATTTCTCACGCATAAATTTTATTTTTAATCAAAAATTGAAATGTAACAACAAAAAAACAACATTTTTGAATCACAGACTTAGAACTAAACCGGCAAAACAAAAAAATGAGGTAACACAAACCTTTTAACGAGATCACAAAAACATGTAAACAAACGTGAACTTCAAAGCGAACAAGAAGCTCTCAAAAATCATCATCATCATCATCTTCATCGTCGATCCACCATTTCTTCGCCTTTTCTTCATTCACTTCACTCTTCTCGCATTCAACTGTTGTGATCGGCCGAAGTGCAGGGTCTAAAGCAATAAAATAGTTGTGGTTATCACAATTTCTTCAACTAAAAAGTATTTTCAACAACTTGAAACACTAAAAGCAAAACTAAAAGTTTCTACAACTTTTTAATTATCACGTTTCCATAAAGCTTACTTGTGCAACGAGCCGCCCATTCCTTAATATCGTCTAAATTCCTTAGCTTGCCCATCAAGTCGTTGAAAAGTTTCGGCTCAGCAGTGCGAATACACCAGGATCGGGCAAACTAAATACAATTCAATAAATGAAACATTCACTGCCATTGATCAAAAATTGCTTTCCCAAGTTCAATTAACACATTGACGGCCGTTAGACCACCGGTGGTTTAAGAAAGTTTTTCAAGGGATTTCAGGTATGTGAGTTTATGCTCCATCTCTCTGGTCTACAAAGTCTGTATGTATACTATGGGTTTTCAGGATACAACAAAAATATATAGATATATTTAATTTAATAATAACGATACAAAAAATCGGTTTTTATCAAATAAAATTTACGACGCTTTTTTGGTCCCACGGACTTTTGTGTGAAAAAATGCCTGGTCGTCAATGTGTTAATAAACTTTATGAATGAGTTTAAATGTCATAAACCAGATACCAACCTGTAACTTGTTCAAATTGATCTCCTCAGGTGAATCGCTGGCATTTACGATAATATGTGCAAATTGCTCTTTCAAAAACAACGACATTCCTGCAAGAAGTCATTTCCAAAAAAAATCAAAACTAGAATTCACCTTTCTTCTCATCACCGGCTGACTTTGCAATTTTTGCATCAAGATCGGCTTTCATCGGTTTAAGGTCCTCTTGTTCTTCTTCCTCCTCATTTCCTGCAAGAAGTGCATCAACATCGACTTCCGCAACTCTTTGCTAAAACACATATTTTATCACTGTATTAGTATTTTGTTTTTCAACTAACCCTTTCATTTTCCCTTTCAGCAGCTTTCATTGCTTTGTAATCGACAATTGGGAACTCTCGGCGTACATGTTCAATAATATTCTTCTGTGTCTCCGTAAGCTCTCGTTCTCCGGCTTTAATCACTGACGTTCGGACACCAACTTTCTAAAAGAAGTACGTTTAACACAAGGAAAAGGTTGCTTACTTCAAAAATCAATTGATTTCTTTTCAAATAAGCCTCGCGTTGACGATGAGAATTTGAAAGAGCACTAAAGATAAATCTAAATATTCAACGATAAAACAATATTTTACCCCTCTCCTTCTGCCATAAAGTTGTCGATGAGCTCATCAATAAGATCCAACTTTTCAATTGATTCTAAAATTTGAAACATAAAAATAACTGCCTCAACAACTTACTTATCGGATCAATTTTCTCAAGAGGCGGGAACATAGTGTGTCGAATATCATCTGCAAACGGAAGCCTGATACCGTACAACATCTAAAAACATGTTTTTGTTAAAATTTTCACATTTCACTAACTTCATACTAAAACCATTTAACTTTACAACAAAACGAACCGGTGTGTTGTATTCTGGATGAATTCGTGGCTTCAGGGCAACAAGTGTTGGTTGAGCAACTAAAATTAGTCAATTCAGATTTTGATCAAAGAATAACAAGATCAATACTAACATTAGAAAGTAACCTACTAGCGTTGAAAGCAAATCGAACAATAGCGACGGCTTTAGCTTCCAAAAGCCCTTCGACAAATGCACCAGCTGCAGGTTGCTGAAGATAAAATCAATGTTATGGACATTTTTTAAAAACATACCGCTCCTTTTCGCGTGTCAGGTACAAAAACGCGAGTCTCCGTACCAGCCATGTATTGTGGATGGATCTAAACAGTACTTAAACACTTTGACTTTAATGCTAAACATACAGCATTCTCGGGAACCGTGCAAATAAGTTGAAAAACCGAAGATCGATTGTAGTTGAACGACAAATTGTAGCTGTCCTTTGTTTCTTTGTCCATGATCAGCTTGGAGCTTCCGAATACATAGCCTAAAATAAAATATTTTCTGCAAGGATATTCATCAAAGCTACAAGGTGAATAACTAACCATAAGCTTTATCCTCTGGATTGACTTGCGTGTAAGTGTATTCTTGCTGTTGTTGTGTGCCTTCGCCTTCACCTTCGTCCATAGCCTACAAACAAAAATTATATTCAATACTTTTAAGAACGTTTCCTTTTCTTGTTTTAAATCTATTTATTCAAGGCATTACTCGTTTTTAACCGTTACCTCTTCTTTCTTGAAACCGTTATCTTTTGCTGCTCCATTTGGCCCAGTTGGTCGAAAAGCTCCAAATCCATACGATGACGACCCAGCCGAAGGACCACCTTGGCCTCCATCACCAGAAGCACCATCTAAAACACAACTAACTTCGGAAAAATTCATAAGCAACCTTCTTTAGAAGTTTCTTCAACGGTGAATAGGTGTCTTTGGCGATGTACCTAAACACGTTTTGTTTACTACATCAAACAATTTTTCTATACATCCAAAATGGCATTTAAAACTTACAGCTTTAAGCGTTCTTGGATCCACAGCTCGCATTCTTTCCTCTTTATCGCTCCTTGCTTTGGAGATATAATTGATACATCTAAAATATATTTTACTTTCGATCATAATTAAGCTTTACTCACTTAAAATTCAATTTGATATCCTTTGCGATCTCGAGTTGAAAGTAGTTTAAACGCGTGAGCTGTTGATACGCAGAAAGCTTCGAAATCAATTTACCGACGTTTCTGAAAAAAATGACAATCAAAATAAATCAAAGAAAAGCTCACGAGTAATCGTACGTGCTTCCACCATTCTCAGCGACAAATTCCTTCAATTCGGTGACCGAATGAGACTCTGGTGGGTCAGTTAGTCCACTAAAACATTTTTAAATTGGAACGTTTAAAGTTGAGCTGATTCAAAGGTTTTAAATGAAGAAAACTTACACAACATGTAACTCCACATCCATAGCAGCTAGCACACTAGCGATCACCTCCAATGCAGTTCGATGAGTGGGACTAAATAAATAATGAATAGATAAAATTAATGAAACCAACCGATCACGATTTCCTAAAGCGTTTGTGAAGAGAATCAAATTTTTCTTGTCGAAATCACCTCCGTCTTCGAGTCGCCGCTTCAACCAATCCAACGCGACGATCAATCCTTGGGCATCTAAAATTATTCGATCGGTTAAAACCAAAACCCAGAGAAAACAGTTCTTAAGCTGTTTTAGATAAAAACTTACAATCTCCATACGTTTTCTGGCTTGGCGACAACTCCGACAAAAAACGCATTTGATCAAAGGTGGCCATTTGAAGAACTTCCTAAAAATAGATAATTATTGCTATTTTAAAACGCTTTAAACAAGATTTATGTATGTTAGGTAGTTATTTTACAAACCTCTTTAGCCAAAACTCCTTCAGTCCCAAGCGGATTGTCCGTTTCATCGCAGCCAAAAACGACGATTCCGAAGAGGTCCATTCCGCCAGCGGTTTTCTAAAAAAGATGTACAAAGTTTAAAAAAATAAGTATCAAGAACTGGAAAAAGCTATCAATTTAAAAATTTACCCTATCGGCATCACTTTTTGATCGCATAATCTTCCTCGTTAGCAACCATTCGACCGTTTGAATTGTATCGTGAAATGGCTCGCCCTAAAATGTAAAAATACAATAAATATTAGTTCTCATGAGGTCAAAAACTGATTAAAAAACGTTTTTAAAGCCTGATCGATCACACTTTGCTAGTTCAACATAAGGCAAAATACAATTTAAACGTAATTTAAAAGTCATATTTCAAACCGTAGGCCCATTTTTCTACCACTCACGCTTTAAACAACTTATGCCGTTAAATTTGCTCAAGAATTCCCCTCTTACCTCCATATTTCTGCCGGCATCAATGACAATGACATTCGCGTTGTCGGGTTTCGTTTTCGTCGTCTTCCTCTTTGCAGCGGCTGGCGATGCTTCACCTTTATCGACGACCTTCTTTCGTGGCATTTCTAAGTTTGAAATTATTTGAAAAAGAAACAATGCAAGAAAATAAAGCAAAACGGAAAGATGAACCAACCTTAATGCAAGCTAGAATTGCTGGATTTTTGAAAATTTTGAAATTAAATATCTACCCATGTCAACTAAAAGATATTCGTCAAAAATATTTGTATTTTAATTGCATTTTTAAAACACAAAAGCGATAAATTTTTGAAAGCAAAACGCTTTTTTTGCAACTCCAACAAACAACAAAAAATTCTTTGATATGGCGAGAGAAAAGAAAACTTTGAGAGACGAAAAGATTGAAAACGCTCAAAAAGAAGAATGAGGCGAGTTTGAACGCGTAAAATCACCCCGGTGACTAACGTTTTCCTTCTTTGTGGGAAAGCTAAAGAAAAAAGCAAGAACTTTAGACTGGCTCATTTGTTGTTAGCTTAATTTTTAAAAACAAGTGTTTTAGTCGGTAAAAGTTGGTAAGAATTGTATGAACACTTCCGTTTTCTCTGCATCAAATTGTTTTCTAAAAGTTGCGCTTCGGGAAAGCTTACAAAGGAGTTTTTCTATCCCAGCGAACCTAGCTTCAATAGAAGCTTCGGGAACTAAAAAGCACCCTTGAAAACACAAGCTATCGTACTCTAGTCAAACTAGGAATTGAATAGGATATGTGCTTTTCATGTTTACAAATATCTAGGACAGAAAATTGTATTTTGTCTACAAAACTAGATGATTTTGAAGGTTTTGACGAGCTTATAACCAAAATGATTTCCAAAAGCCTTAACTAATTTATCAATTCCGCATCTTACTATGAACATTTCATCTTGAATCATACAGGGTGACCGCGAATTATAGCAACTCACTTCTGAGCGTCTAGTTCAGCGAGAACACAATGAATCCGTATGAAATTTTTGGAGGTGATTTTTGAGAATGTCTCCTGTAGCCAAGCCTATTTTCTAACAGATTGGTTCTCCTAAAATCTTTATATGGCGTTACAAAGTTAAAAGTCGCGGCACACCTGGCGAAAACCTCAATTTAAGGTTTTTGAGAAATCGTTTTTTTTTTCTTAAAATGCTAGAGATTTCTTATTGGTATTGTAGGGATTGATATTGTAAAAAATGAAGAATTAAGTTTGCCAGGTCTATTGTTTGTTTGATTTTTTGGACTAAAATTCCCCGAGTAAAGAATAAAAGCAAAGAATTCATAATCTGTGAAGCAGATCTAGGATTTTGAGAGTTTAAAAAGCTTTTAAAGACTTACAGCTAGTTCCAAAAGCAAACAAAAGACTAGCTTTAATGTTTTTGATGATGATTTCAATGATTTCAATGATTCAATGATGTTTTTGATGATTTCAATTCATCTTTGGAAACTTTGCTCTTTGAAAACAAATCAGAGCTCCTTTTTTTAAACCATTTATCTTTAGAAAACCCTTTCTTTCAGGTACAAATTCGTTCACCATGTGTTAATTTGCGAGCACGCGAAAAAGCTGAATCTCTAATTGTTTCGTCTACTCTTGATCCAAGTTCAAAGTCAAAAATTCGACGTAAAAAAAGGATATTCAGGCAATCGCTTCACTAATTTTCGAATATATACCATGCTTGGCAACAATTTGGGGCGGATTTATTGGTACATGAAAAAAGATTTTTCACAAAAAATGCTGTCTAGGACTCCTTTTGAAGAATCTTGCCATTTACGTGCCAATTCAAATCTCATTTTATTCAACCGCTGAAGCGATCATGATCATTTTTGGATTCACGGTAAAATGAATAATAAAAAGTAACAAGCGAACAAAAAAGCAAAGTAAACTTTCGTGATTAGGGAGTGAAAAGGGATTAGAATTGCTTTTGTGGCTCATTTAATGGCCAGACATTCATTTTCATTAAACTAACAAATTACCAGACTTATCCAGTCGTCCTAGGTTTAGTTCCTTTTCTCTACAGATTTGGTTCCTTTTCTCTACAGGTTTGGTTCCTTTCCTCTACAGATTTGGTTCCTTTTCTCCAGAGATTTGGTTCTTTTTCTCCACAGATTTGGTTCGTTTTCTCCAGAGATTTGGTTCTGTAAATAACTAGGGATCCTTTTTGATTTACACCTCACTTTTGGGCCAAGACCTAGCACATCTTATTCAGTTTTTTTGCGCTAATTCCGATGGTGTATTTCGTTTGGGGATGGCGGTTCTAAAATTTTGAGAATTTTTTGCTTCAAAGTTTATACTGTAGTAAGGGTACTGTAGCTAATTTTTTTATTTTAAAAGATAATGCAAAAAATTGGCTATAAAAATTTCGATATAATTAGAAAAATCACGTTTTATTTTGCTTTCAGAAGTCAGCTTTCGAAACAAATAACAGAAAAATTAAAAAGTTTATTTAAAAAACCGTCAACTTGTTTATAAAATGTACAGAATTTATATTAAAATTATCGCTGTAGAATAAAATTTTCATTTTAATAGTCGTTTAAATGATTGGTCGATCAGTGTTTACAAATTATATAAATACTTTATTTAGAAAGAAATAAAGTGCGAAAAAGACATGAAAAATGTACCAGATAAAAGATCAAAAAGTCATTTAAAATGCAACGAAGTAGCCCTTTTAAAATCAGACACGGTGGAGATCAAACGCAACTTGTCGGGAAGGGTATCAAACTTTAATCACACGATTTACAAAAAAAGCTCTAGAGGATTTAGATTCGGGATGCAAGATAAAAGAGCCACGCCTAGTCGCCAAAAGCCTCGAAAGTCGCCAAAAGCCTCGAAAGTCGCTAAAAGCCTCGAAAGTCGCTAAAAGCCTCGAAAGTCGCCAAAAGCTAGTCGCCAAAAGCCTAAAAATGGAATTTTTATTCTCAAAAAAAACCCATCGTACGAAGAAATTAAAGAGTCAAGAGGCAATTGTTGTTTAAATTAACAATTGTTGTTGAATTAACAATTGTTTTAGCTTCATCTATGTTTCCCTCATAATCAAAAAGTATTCAGGCCTACCGTGAGACGACTCTTGAGAATCATTCGTGTCCGTGATCATTCGTCCTTGAGAATCTTCTTCATCGCTCCAATATGAGCGCAAACCGAATACGAGTCTACGAATGTCATAGAGAAATCTCTTTGCTATTATTTTCAAAAATATTTACCATAATGAAATAAAAAGTAATGAATTTACAAAATTTGCTTTAAGTTGGATGTATGGTCAAAACTAGATGAATCGGGATGTGAAATTTCCTCAAAAATCATTTCCTGAAAGCCAAAAAGCTCTTTTTCTGTTCTTTTTTCTCCAAAAACTTGCAAGAATTTCTGATTTCCGGAATTGATTACGGAAATTTCGTCTTTTCATTATTCCTGTAAAATGAGCAATCCTCATTAGGTTTTAAAAGTTTTCAGAAAATTTTAAATTCCTTTTCGCAATCAAAAGTGATAGCTGATAGCTGATAGCTGGTAGCTGATAGCTTTTCTTTTCTAGTAATAACTGATTCTGAACTTTCTAGTATCAATCCAAATGAGGATTCAATTCTCACTAAAACCAAATTAAGTGTAGTATGATGTTCTTGTCCAAATTTTTGATGAAACTTTGGGTTCTCTGGTAGATTGGAAAGACCTATTATTATATATCATTTACTTGGAAACTACGAATCTTCTCTCCAAGATAGCCTTCTTCAAAAGTCAACTTTTTTTCCTCAGTTCTAACCACCAATTACAATGTCTCTCACATAAATTTCCTTGTGCTGATCTCAAAAAGTGAATTCAACAAGTCCTCTCTATTCTAGGAATTTTCTAAAATATTGTAAAGTTTTCATGTTGAGATAAAAATTAGCCTAATCTAGCAGAAAAGCTTTTCGAAATTAGCTATTAGCCACTTTTTATGAAAATTCTCGCAACAATGAACTTGAAAAAGAGGATTTTGACGCGTTTATAAAACAAAGATAGGACAAAGATCTTGAGCTTTACGTCTTCTGAGACAAATAATAAAATTTTAGAATTTAAAATAGCGTGAAAGCTTTTGAGATTTCTTTTTCATTAGTCTATCTTGGCATTCAGTTTTTTTGCGAATTAGCCGCTGATTAGTTTTTAGCGACCGTACTCGCTGATTAAGCGAGTACGGTCGCTTTTTCTCGGAGATTTAGTTAAAAAAGCGTCGAAGTGATACGCTGTTGGTTAACTGAATATCTTTAGAGACCAATTTTGAACGCTAATTTTTTATGAAATCTTAACTTTTTTATTATGTAGCCAAGAAGGCAAGGAATTTTTTTGGTATAAAAATTGAAAACAAACGTACTGGTGTCAAGATATGAGCGTTTGTTTAAGAGAAAACTTAGACTACACGACGCTCCTATAGCGGGGTCGTTCTATTAGAGTTTTTACCGTATGAGCAGTAATTTACCTCTCACCAGGAAGTTTCCAGACTCACAATATACTCTGGAAAAAGGTTATAGTAAAACAATGCCAGAATAGAAAACGTTCAAACAGTTCCATCAAATTTCTCAATTCAAAAAACCATAGGGTAAAAACTCTAATAGAACGACCCCGCTATAGGAGCGTCGTGTAGTCTAAGTTTACTCTTAAACAAACGCTCATATCTTGACACCAGTACGTTTGTTTCGGCTCGCTTGGGTATCAAATTAAAGTAGAGAGGATGGGTGATTTTTTGAGATATAACACTTATTTTTAACCTTAACGAGCGTTTAGAAAAAAATGATTGAAAATCGGCGAAAATCGGCTTTTAGTTTTTTTTGAAAGGTTTTTTGAAGGATTTCATTCTTCTCACTGACGTATTCCTGGTAGATTTCTTGTCTCACTCATGACTTTTTGTTCCCCAATATTTAAAAGACGAACCATTGTTTCCATTCTTAAATCTCCTTTTTAAAAAAAGTGTTTCTTTTCAGCTCTTCAGAAAAGATCAGCATTTAAAATTAGGATCTGGAAGATATTTGATATTCAGATATTCATATTAGCCATAAAAGCCCCCCACAGTTTCTTTTTTAATCGAGTTATTAAATTCTGGAACATTTTACCCCCTCATGTTCGTGATATTCCCACCTTGGCTAGATTTAAAGCCGCAATTTCGGCAATTGATTTGACTGCTCTGTGATTCTTTCTTGAGGTATCTATTTATCTTTTGGGTGTGTTTTGAGTGATGTCCCGGGTAATTATTGTGATTTTGTTTTGTCGCTATTCAACTGAATAAAGCATATATATATATATAATCTTAGAGGACTTTTCTCTCGTTTTTCTAAAACGTTTAAACCTTTCAAAACTACCGTAATCGGCTTTTTATCCAATATATCTATATCTAATTTTTATAACGATTACAGAACATTGTGAAGCTTTAGAAAAACGCATTAGCCTTTTCTTTAAACTGACGCTGACGCTTATTTTTCCCGTCATTCACTCTCCCATAAATCGATCCCGAAGTTGTCATCATTGCGTATTCGAATATCAAATATATATTAATATATATTTGATAAAGTTCCTCACTTTTTATGATCATTGAAGTGTGATGTTTTTTGTGATTTTTGTGATTTTTGTGATTGCTTTTCAAAACAAAAAATTATTCACTCTTTTCAGAAGTCCAAATTCATTTCAAAGCATTTTAAAGCACATTTCAGTAATGGATTCGTATAAACAAACGATTTGGATCTACACAGTGGGAGGACTGGGGATTCTTCTCAATCTCTTGCTTCTCTACATGATTGCAACCGATCGAGCGGTTTGTATTTTAGCCCCTTCGATTCAGGAATGGCAAAAACGTGAATTTGTCAAGGCTTTATTTAATCGGTGCTACATAAAAACCTGACCAGACTGTTCAGGGTTACTATTTTCTTTTCCAAGCTAAGCCGATCGATCCACTTCCTTGTTTTGGCTTGGCCCTTGGTCAATTGGCTTTTAGAAAATCCTGAGAACTGTTCATTCCTTATCCGTTCTTCAGGATTTTTGACTTTCCTTGCTTTCCTTGATTCTTAAAAGGTTTTGCATAACTTTGAAAGCTAAATCTAATATGCTAATTGAAAAATTCGCATAAAACTAGTACCAACTGTAACTTGTAGTCATGTGCAAAAGTCTTTTAACACTCAATTTTCTAAAAAGTTACATCGATTTTCTCTGATAAAGTTCATGGCGCTCTTTAAGCTATTAATAGTTTTCGTTACACAAATATATGTACAATTTATTTACACAAACGCTCTCGCTATACAAAACTTATTCATCGAGAAAAAAAAAATATAATTGTCAAAACACCCCGGAAAATCGTGGTGCAAAAGTCTTTTAACACAAGACGAAATTAAGTTATAATCAATATTTTGTTGACCCTTCTTTTGCCAAAAGTATTTCTTTAGCACGAGTAGGCATCGATGCAATTAATTCATCAAGAATTCCAGGTTCAATCGTCTTCCAAATTTTTCTAGTGTAAAACCATAGCTCGACTTTGGAATTGAATAGTTTTTTGCGCAATTTCAATTTCAAATAGGCCCATAGATTCTCGATAACATTTAAATCCGGTGAAAAAGTGAAGCTTTTGATCAAAGAATTAATTCATGAAGAATTCCAGGTACAAAAATTAGCATAAAACTAGTACCAACTGTAGCTTACCTTTCAAAAAAAGATCAATTCAAAGTGACTTCCAGAAAGGTGGTGATGGGTATCGAAAAATGCTTGCAATCATCACCGTTTACAATCTTTATTATGCTTTTGTTCATTGTCTAACTGACGTGGTGAGTCTATGAAGCTTTAACACGTTGACGACATTGTCACCTGATGCTGTCTGACACATATTCGTTCGCCTGGGACATTGTCACCTGATGTCAGGTGACAGTACCAAAATTGATTTTTTTGTGCATACTTATGTTTGCTGATGATGGATATTAAATAAGCAAGTAGGGTAGTATCTATATTCGACTTGGTCCCGGAAAATGTCGATTTAACCGTTGATTATTAAAACCGGAACCAGAATTCCGGCCCAAGTCTAATACGGACCCCTCTGACCATTTCCTTGCAAGAATAACAACTAATAACAACAACTAACAACAACAACTAATAACATAATTATCAAAGAATCATTTTAAACTTTCACAAAAATTTTAAGTTTGAAAAAAAAGAACTCTGTGGGACATTGTCACCTGATGTCAGGTGACATTTTTTGTCGAAAAAAAACAACGTTGTCCCATGCGATTGTTTGTGCAAAAACGCCATTGTCGTCAACGTCAACAATTCGACAATCATTGTAGGGTTTCATGATTGATCAAACTGGGTTCCTGATGTTCTGCAAGAATCTCCACAAGCTTGGCTTCTGGTATTCGTATATTGGAGTGTTAGTAAGTAAGCTCACAAAAAAAATATCTACAATTCTTTCAGCTGTACGTCGTTTCCTTTGAGATGTCTCTCTCATTGTTGGCCATTCATTGTCTATATCGTTATGTGAAAATTTCTGGGTAAACCTTTAAAAAAAAGTAAATGCTATCAAGTCTAATATCGACTACTTTTGGGAAGAGATTCCCATAAACTGTTTTCTATTTTGCACTAACTCCCGTTTTACCTTTTGTACGTGTCAACTGGAGCGACACGTAGTCTTCAGGATGATGATTGCTCATTTTCAATTGTTTCTATTGTACTTCTTCCTGTGATATTGATTTCTATTTGTTAGATAGATATTGCTAAAAGTGATATCTGAAATAGTCATTACGCTTCATCGATTAAGATTTTGGTATAGGAGTGGGGACCAAATCGGAATCGTATGGGAACCGGATCGGAACTGAATCGGAACTGAATCGGAACCGGATCGGAACCGGGTCGGAACCGTATGAGAACCGGATCGGAACTGAATCGGAGAACTGAACTGAAAGACAAATCGGAATGGGACTGAATCGGACCTGAATGAGACCGAATCAGACCTGAATGGGACCGAATCGGAACCGGATCGGAACTATTCATTACAGTCATGTCATTACAGCAATCATATAAAAACTACAGTCGAACACATACAACGATAGCCAACTGAAATTACAGTTATAGCGAGTAGGCTAACTAGGAGTTAAACAAGGGATACGGTTGTTGAAGTTCATTCTATCCACGTTCCATTATGCACTGTAGAATTGAAGTTATTGATGAATTTCGAATAAGTTCTTATGTAGCATATAATTTTAGACGTTTCACGACTCTTTTTGATCGTTGGTATGGTATTCTCGCATTGACAATTGCTCATTTTGCCGGCGGTATCCTCTATGGGCTTTCGTGTGACTTCACAATGAAAGTAAGTTTCAAGATTAAGCCAAAATCTGCAAAAACCGATCTAACTTTTTATAGATTAATTTTAACATAAATAAATAACATATTATATAATTATGTCAAAGTTTAAGATATCATTGAAATCCTCATTTTAGCCAACTCCCGAACGTGAAATGATCAGCCGAGATGAGCTTTTGTTTCGATACAATGTCTCTATTGACAATCTCGGTTATATTGGACCTGTTTATAAAGTATTTTATTTGTAAAATCGTTAATAATTCAGCTAATAATTCAGCTAATCGATGAAACAACTGGTGAAAGCAAGTTTTTAATCTCAAACATGCTTGGCTCGTTTGGCTGTTGCGTGATGCAGTTGACGATCTATTGGACGATTTGTGCGGCGGGCATGAAATTGTGAGATTTACGATTAATGCTTACACTTGTTTATCAAATACCAACATACAATTAGCCAAAAATCTTTTTAAGTAATAATACAGCAACCCAGTTACGGTAATGAAACGGATAAATGAAAACCCTTTCAGATATTTCTTTGTCCATTCGGCTCTGATCAGTGACAAAGCAAAAGCGGTCAACTTTCAGCTACTTCGGTTATTATTGATTCAAGTAAGAACTGAAAAACTGTCACAATATTTCTTCAGGCTTTAGCTCCTTTGATTTTTGAATACATCCCAGCAATGATGACGATTTGGGGAGGATTTCTGGGTGAGTGGTAAGCAAAGTAATTGCAAAGGTAAGGAATTTGGCTAGCATGAAAATTTACCGACCTGAACCATATTTTGTTGAGTAGAAAAAGCTAGGAATTGCTCGGAACAGCTAGGAATTGCAAACTAGAGTTCAGGCTCAGGTCCAGGCTTGTAATCGCCCTGAGAATTTCAATCTCAATTTCAATTTCAATTCTCAATTTAAAGTTAAAGTTTGAATGTACATTTTACAAGTTTTTTTTCCAAAAAACCAGAAAACAATTGCTTCCGGTGAGACTCGAACTCACGGATTATGAGACTGACGCGTTGCCGACTGCGCTACGTGAGCATGTGGCGATGCATCGTTTTTCAGCATCATTCTTGATTCAAAAAGAATTTCCAGGCCTTCCCCTTGAAAACTGTGCCATGTACATTCCTGTCCTAATCGCTTGTTACTCTCCGACTGAAGCAATCATGGTCATATTTGGATTTGCGGTGAGTCTCAATGAACTTCCGCTAATTATCACTTCAGACTAGAATGGAGGAGTTTAAATAAGATTAGTAATCCGTCTTAATCCGTTTTTAGCTACCGTAACCCATCAATCAGCCCGATTTTTGCATCATTGACTGACCCTTGTGATTCCTCATTGAATCTCAAAATTAAACTGATTCAATCTAATCTGGCAGTTTGATTACGACACTTTCCAAAATAGGTGCATTTTAGAAAACGGATTATTCGAAAGGAACACACTCTACTTAAGAGGCACAATTTGAATTTGAACAAATTTGAAATCCATATAGAAATGTGCTCTCAATTGTTGGACATAAAGTTGCAAGCTTTAATTTTAGGTCTATCGTCAACGAGCACTGAAAATGATTGGTATCTCAGATCGAGGCTCTTCCACCACTCACAATCCCCACTCCACCATAAAAGGCATTAAACCGGTTACAAAAGAAAGTTTTCACGAGAAAGTTCAAACGAGAAGTGTTGAGAGGAATAGTAATGAGGGGATTTTGTAGCTTGTCTATTGTTTATCTCGTGATCCTCTTTATGTATAAATATTTACAATATACAAAAGCCATTTACAAATCTAATGCACAATTTCCGACAGTAAAAGCTATAGTTGGTCATCAAAAAGTGCTTTGAACTTTTACAAGTTGATACTTTTCAATCACAACATCAATTTTGCTTTCTCAATTAACAAAGGGCTTCAGTAGATTGTTTATAAAAAGTACTCAATAAGCTATCGATCTTTATCGATAAGCGAAGCGAACCGAAGCGAATCGAGTCTTCAATAAGCTATCGAGTACTCTATAACCTATCGATACTCAATAAGCTCATCGAGTACTCTATAACCTATCGATACTCAATAAGCTCATCGAGTATCGATATTAATAATATCAAGTATCTGAGATTTTATGCGATTTTGTAAAACTGATTTTGAGATTTTGTAACGCTTGAAAAATTTTCTCCAAAAAATCCAAAAAGTGGCACTAAATTTTGAATTTTCAAATAAATCGGCGAAAATGAGCAAAATGAGCCTTGATTATCGATAGCTTATCGATCGTTATCGAGAAGGTTCGCTTCACTTAAGGCTTATAGAGATTGATAGCTCGATAGCTCAATAGCTTTCGCTTCGCTTAAGCGTTATCGAGTATCGATATTGGCAAGATCAATAAGGATTCTTATCTTATCGAGTATCGATAAGCTTGTCTAGTAAAAGCTATATTTGGGCATCAAAAAGCGCTTTGAACTTTTACAAAACGGAATTTGAATTAATTACAAAATAAAGTTTACTTTCCCAATTCCCAAAAGGATTCAACAGTTTATAAAAAGTTTATAAAAAGAAAAGATCTAATTGTAAAGAACTCTATAAAATAAAGGGCTTTCTGAAAATGTCGAGTTTTGTAAAAGCCTAGAAAATAATAGTAAGCAAGCTGGAAAAGCATGAAATCAAAGAAAACAAGAGCAAGTAAAAATAGCAGGAGATAAGTCATGAACTCATTTGATGATCACTCTATTCTCCCAAAATTCCTTTATCGCTTCTTCCATGTCTTGTAAGTAGTTGTTCTTTTCGATCGTTCCCACTGGGTCCACTAAAGTTAATGTTAGACTCTCTATGGACCTTTTAACCAATACAGTTTTCTAAATCTCAATTTTTTGAAAACTACTTTGGTCTTGCAGCTGTTTCATTCAATCTATCTATTGCACTCTCTGTCTGATTTTATGAGGGCACAAAATTTTGTTTCAATCTCTTTCATAAGTCTCTCAATCCAAAACAAATGAGAACTCCTCGTCATTCCCACATTTTCCCATCCATTCATTAACCTAAAAGTTCTCTCGAAAAGTGAATGAACTTCAAAGAAAGACTCATAGAAATTCCTTCGACAAGCTGAAAAGCTCAGTTTCAAATTCTCATCTGGAGCCACTTTTGGATAGCTGAGCAGCTCGCATTTTGGATAACATTCACAGAAAAACGACTCAAATCCACCGCAAGTGATCCAATCCCAAAAATAGATATATCCAGAGAAACGGGAGTGGATTGTTTTTTGGAATTTTTTTGTTAAATCGATTAAAGTGTCCCAGTCCGGAAAAAATTTTCGCTTGTAGCATTTGAAAAATTTCAAAATTGAATTTCTATATCTAATCTTTGCGAGTTTCCGGTACTCCTACTTTTCATGGTTCGCGTATTCTAGAAAGTGCTCCAATTTGATGAAACCCATTGTGACCTCTTTTTTTCTCGTTAGTTGAATATTTTTCAACGCATGCGATTTTGTTATGTAAAGCCCTTCGCACAGTTTCAATGTCGAGTGTCGCCGTTTGGCCGAATTCCTGTAAAAACCGCTTTTCATCATACAGCCGCACCTCGCTCAAATCCTTTTTAAACGCCAATCCACTTTCCATACACCAATCATTCCTCGAGTCTTCGAAGTAAAAAATTTGATATCGTTTTCTTCTGGTAAAGATTTTTGAGAGTTGCTCAATATTGCAAAGGACGGCTCTCAACAAATCCAACAGCTCAACCCATGTGAAATTCAGCGAATCGCAGTGCCAGAGTGCTCGAATAGCCAGTTGGAATGTAAAATCCTGCAGATGAAAGTCAAAAGTGACCAGCCGAGATAATTTCTTCAGCATTCTTTTCCACAGCTCACTATTCGATGACCCTTGCAGGAAGTTCGCCGCAATGCCCACACTTTCGGTGATGAAGTTGCTCGAGTACAGATTCAAATGGTCTCTAATTTCTTTAGCCAGCATATCCGTACTTTCCAGCTCGACATCAACTTTCCCGAAATTGCTGCATAGATTTTCTCTTATCAAATTTATGTCCACCAAATTCTCGGGAATCCCACAAAATCTCAAAGAACCGTATCTCACCGACGACACTTTTGGCCCTCTACCCATTGTCAGATTCTGAAAACCAGTTTTCATCATTTTTGGCATAATCTCTTGCAAAACTTTGAGCAAATCCGTATGATTTTGCATTGGATTCTTTTGGATCATTTTAGCCTCTTCGGGAGCTCGATTTTGGTCTTGGAGCTCGAAAAGAACTCCCGGTGGAGACAATGAGCTAATCTCGATCCAATTGAATCCTTCGGGATGTTGCAGAATCTTTTGATCTCGCCGCTTTTCGGGTAAAGCCTCGAAGTCGGGGAAAAGCTGAAAAAGATTTGTTCTTATCAGTACACAGACAATTGACTAGATTTGTTTATCGATAACGTTGTCGATAGTCTTAAAACCGGGGTACGACTTCATACAGTTATGCATTTAAACAATAGCTTTATTAAGACTTGCTCAGCCATGTTGAGGCCAAACAGAAGTTACAATTTACAATTGGTATCATCGCTTTCAAAAGAACGACCTCTCTTGAAGATCAGCCGAGATCTGGCCGACCGACTGGTCTTGATGAATCCAATCTAACTCTTATACGCGATGACAACAAACAGTGCGCAACTTCAGTGACCGTACCACTGTTGACCGTCATCTTCAATCTATGGGCTACAAATTAAAATTCGGATCGTGGGTCCCACATGAACTGAGTGATGTAATGAAATGGCTGATGTCGGGCACTCTACTCTCGCGTTATCACCATCGATCTTTTTTCCCCACCTGATAAGAGGCGATGAAAAATGGGTAATCTGTCAAAAAATTATAGACGCACCCTGTTTTTGCTAGTTTAGAGCCAGATATAAGTGCTGGTCCAGTGAAAAGTATTTTTTAGTTTTTTTAATGTAAAAAAACAACCCATGCAAAATTTCGAATCATTTCACTCATCCAAAGTAATTTATCTTTCTGGAATTAAAAGTAATTTTTTTAAAAGAGCAAATTTTAATTGCGATTGCAATTGTTATTTACTTCTTCTTGATGGCGGCTCTGTCAATCGAAGCCAATAGGTGTAAGAAAAAGGTTTCACTTTTAAATTTTAGAAGACTGAGCGTGATTAACTCTACAAATTTCAAAGAACATTTATTATTTTATACTTAAAAGCTCATTTTATACTTAGCCAACCCTTAGATTCTTTCCAAAGACGTCGGCCGTTGCAGGTGAGTTGTCCAGTAGCAATAATACAAGCACAACAAATTAAACTACCGAGCGGCCATAAGAGGGGTCTGAATGAATATTTCGAGCGATCAATATTTCGATCAATAATCATAAGAGGAATCAATATTTCGAGGGGTTCGAGGGGCTCTTCTATTAGAGTTTTTACGGTAATTACGGTAATTGAATTTAAATTTATATTGTGTTTAAAACATACAAAGATTCAATATGATGCTCGTTCAATTACTGCCACAATTTGAAGACGAATGACTGTCGTCACTTTATCGATGGTGGATGTGGAGGAAGAGTCGCGCTTCAGAACGAGAGCTCACTGTCGTGTCACATGTGATTCAAAATAAATCCTGTACCTCAAAACTTCCTGATTAGATAGCCAAAAAGTGAAATCAGGCATCAAACTTGAAACAAAATTAATCACCAGAAATGCGTTTTAGACAGAAAACCATAAAAAAAAGCTTTTGCTTTTGATAAGTAAATCGTTTTGCATCAAAGTATTGAAAAAGTGAAATCACAGATCCAGACAAACAGCAAATCGAGTTTTTTTGTGTTTATAGAATTGTGAAATAGAGGGCTGAAAATTGATTCTCAGCATCATTTTGTCGTTTTCAGATGAGTGAGACTTGTGAGCTTTTGAGTAGTTGGTTTCCTTTTGTAGAATTCCGAAACTTCTAACTGAAATAACGGCGGAAATACGAGTGTCAAGGGTGTACTTTGGGAGATCGCACCATCGCGCGTCCTCTGACGCACGGAAAGAATGGAAAGAAAGCTCCGTAGTCGGTTTAATTACCCAAGCTAGAGATTAGTATTAATCGCGAGACGCTCATAAAGCTTGTCTGGATCTGTGATTTCACTTTTTCTTAATACTTTGATGCAAAACGATTTACTTATCAAAAGCAAAAGCTTTTTTTTTTATGGTTTTCTGTCTAAAACGCATTTCTGGTGATTAATTTTGTTTCAAGTTTGATGCCTGATTTCACTTTTTGGCTATCTAATCAGGAAGTTTTGAGGTACAGAAAAGGTATGGATCAGTGCTTGGCTAGCCTCTAGAAATTATGGGATGAAAAGATAAGAAGCAGACATTATTTCGCTTCTATTTTTTAACATGAAAACTCGAATTTTTTTCACATTTCTTGTCTCATTTTGTTTTTCATGTCCACATAATTGGTACGAGTTCCCGAGTGATGATGTTTGTGTTTACATGATAAAGAAATGTGAGTTTTAAAATGCAGTGAAATGTTATGAAGTCATAATGAGAAAAATGCTTCTTTTAAAATTGAATATTGTTTATTGTTTGAAATATTGTTCTGAAATTCATTTTAAGCCTTAAAGCAGTGAGCTTCAAATGCTTAAAGCATTTGAAGCCTTAAAGCAGCCTTAAAGCATTATACAAAAGCAGTGACTTTCAAAGAAAATCAAGTTCAGCTCAAAACTACACGAACACCGTCACCACTTGTGCCCAACTGAACAGCACTGTAGTGAAAATCACGAACATCTTTGAGAATTCTTATATCGGAGCCTTGCTTTCAGGTAAACGATGAATCTATTTTACAAAGATTCTTTACAATCGCTTTTTAGGGTTAAATGACCAGTTTCCATTTATTGGTGTTGAGCGAAAGTCTAATGGAACTTGGGTTTATCAAGATGCAAGTCCACTTATCTACACAAATTGGGCTCCAGGTGATTTTTCTTAAAAAAGTAGACACTTCTGGGATTTTCTAGGTGAACCAAGTTTAAATTCCTCGTTGAATTGTGCATATCTTGGTAATTCGACTCTTCAATGGTATGCGACAGATTGTTCGACTGAGAGACCATCATTTTGTTCTGCAAACGAAATGCCCAGTAAGGGATTTTCAATTTTCTTTTCAATTCTTCAATTCTTTCTTTATATGATTAGTAAAAATCGTATTATTTATTATTTTATGTTTATAAATTGAAAAAGAAATTGTTTCCTTTATAGTTCCTTTACACTTCCTTTATAGTTCCTATTTGGTTCCTTTAAGGTTCCTTTATAGTTCCTTTAAAGTTCCTTTATAGTTCCTTTATAGTTCCTTTACACTTTCTTTATAGTTGCTATTTGGTTTCTTTATAGTTCCTTTATAGTTCCTTTACACTTCCTTTATAGTTCCTATTTGGTTCCTTTAAGGTTCCTTTATAGTTCCTTTAAAGTTCCTTTATAGTTCCTTTATAGTTCCTTTACACTTTCTTTATAGTTGCTATTTGGTTTCTTTATAGTTCCTTTATAGTTCCTTTACACTTCCTTTATAGTTCCTTTATAGTTCCTTTACACTTCCTTTATAGTTCCTATTTGGTTCCTTTAAAGTTCCTTTATAGTTCCTTTATATACTTTTATTAACTTCATTTAAATGAACAAATTTCTAGATCATCAATGCCTTGATGGATGGATCTACTCGAACGAAACGGACTATTGCTACTATTTAGAAGTGAGCGAGATTCGGAGTCATTTTTTCAATAAATTTTAGAACTTTTCATATCCCGATAATATTCATTGGCAATTCTATGACCAATCGGAAGCGGAAGCGAATTGTCAAAGGAAGGATAGAGATTCCCATTTAGTGTCAATTCATTCCGATGTCGAGAACAAGTTTATTTATGGTTAGTTTATGCGAAAAAGAAATGAAAAAGTGAAATCCTTGGTATTAATATTTACATATTATTTTTATCAAAAACTTTCCAGATCTTGTCTATTCAAATGTGGCCAATCTAACGCATGCCGTTTTTGATCCATGTTCTCATCAATGGGCTTTCATTGGGTATTCGGGATTTGGTTTCCCTGGAAATGGATCATGGACTGATGGGTCACCGGTTGATTTCATCGACTCACAACCCACACCCATATTGGCCAACTATGTGGTGATACAAAATTCAAACTTTTCTCGAGCATCATCAAGAAATTTCCAGATCTCTAACGATCCCTCATGTCGGCTTCATCAATGGTCAGCTATTGGCCCAGATTGGGCCTATCCACGATATGTTTGCAAAATGTCCTCATCAAGACAAAACATGAAATAGTTTTTGTTTCATTTTTCATTTTTATAATACCCCATTTTCTCTAATAGTAGTGCACCGTGAGCGTCGTCTAAATTCCTCGAAATCTCGAGAACCGCTTATCAGAACCTATTGAGGTGCGGTCGGAAAATGTAGCTGACGATGAGATCTAGTGGGGGATTAGAGTGTTGAGCTTCTGCGGAAATTTTGAAACCATAAAATAGTGACCAACTCGGCTCGCCTGGGTGCACTACTATTAGAGAAAATACGGTAATAAAATATTAAAGAAAAGTTATTATTTAAAGAAATTAAACTAAACGTTTCGCTGCCATTTTCTGACAAAAACGGTTAAAGCTTTTTAAGAGAATCCCTCTTAAATCCTTAACTTGAAAGTTTAAATAGAACTTTTAGCTGTGTCTTTCACCTTTTAAACTTTTATTTTTAAATTTTGAGCTGTCTGAGAGAAGACGATGCTATTTTTGGTAGCTGCTTGTCAAAATTGGAATAAAAATTCAAATAAATATGCTTCAAACTTTTCATTTACAATACAAGAAAGAAAATATGCGTTTTTTTCCGCCCATTTCTTCGATTTGTTGGAGGGTCATCTTTGCCTCATCTTTGGTTTTGCATTATCATGCAAAAGCCGACTTTTTGAAGTGTCCAGTCGAGATTTCGATAAAGCTGATTCACACGCTCTAACTGCTCACTTTTCAGCTGTGACAGTTTTATCTGGTTTGAGCAGTTCAAAATAAACCAATCCACGATAGTTTTACCATACGCACAACATCAACTTCTTTCCATGCAGATCAGGTTTTGACGTGAGAACCGGGGCTTGCCTTGGTGATAGCCATTGGCGCTTGCGCTTAACGCTTTCATATAATATCCACGTTTCATCAGAAGTAACAACAATTGATTTTCAATTGATTGATTGAACATTGATTGAACAATTGATTTCCAAAAATCAATTGTTCAATCAATCAATAAAAATTCAAATAAATAAAGGTGCTTCAAACTTTTCATTTACAAGAAAGAAAATATGCGGGTTTTTCCTTTGTTTTCTGTTAATTTCTGTTAATTTCTGTTGATTTCTGTTGATTTCTGTTGATTTCTGTTGACACACAATCATTTAGTGCTTGTACCGATATGTGATACAGATCATACGATAATCGACACAGCAAAAGGTATATTCTCATCTAAACAATCAAATTTGTGTACCCAAATCATAACATTATCTTATTACCTTCTCTGTTCGAGCTTTTTGGCGTAAACTGCTTTATTGCTTTATCCACTTTATTGCTTTATCGCATTGGAGCCTTCCCTTTTCGACAATGACTCGGTTTTTTTCGTTTCGCTGGAGGCGGAAACCATTTCCTGAGCTCATCTAAAAAATGTATTATATCAGGACAACAATAAATACTAAAAACAATACCAATAAAACATTAAAGTTAAGTTACACAAAAATCATGAGGATTTGTGCAATTTTGCGGTACTTTCAAAAGAATAAAACACAGACGCATTGGGGATCGAACTAAAGGTCAAACTTTTCATTTAAGCATAAGATTGTGAAGAAGAAAGCGAGCAGAAATTAATCGCGTGGCATTTCCGAGAGATCCTACGATGCGACGCAATTGTGATCGTTGGCTTTTGGATGGATTTCTTACCGCATATGGTCTTGATTCAATCGTGCTTCACTCCTACGGAATGAACCTCTTCAATCTCGTCAATCCTCGTTCGTTTATCAGCCAACAGATGATATTTTTTCGAGACGACAGCCACCTCCAGTTGATAGTTGCTTTAACGAGGTAAAACAGGAAGAATCACGGCGACCTCCACAATTTGTTGCATCCAAAAATAAATAGGGGCAACATCCATCACTAATTGCTTGTACATTCAAACAGTAGCCGCGCTCGATAATTGTGTAGATTAGCTAAAGGTGGGTCGATTTGAATTAGCGTTGAATTGAAGTTGAATTGAATTAATGAATGAGCGAGAACGCCCCAGACGCTTGGATGCTGGCCTAATCGAAACGTTTTCACCGCCTGGCGTTTTTCCAATTCCATTCTTCGATACCTAACGGCTGTTTTGAATAAATATATAGTTTATTTTTTTGAAAAATTACAGTTCAATCCTATATGGTTTGCTCAGTTTTTGCAATAATTATGTTCTAATACCTCTATATAACGTAATGGTTGCAAAGAACCCTGCGTACTTGACTATATACAGGGTGACCAAGAATTACCGCAACACACAAAAGGTCTGGCTTTCAAAAGTCAACTTAAATATCTTTATTCAACATGCAACAGTAACAAATTAATAATTAAATTCAAATTTGCCTCCATCGGCATTCCGACAGGCCTGCAAATGTTTGGGAAACGCGTTGACCGTGGCGAGCAAATAGGCATCATCGAGGGTATCCCATGCTTTGATGAGCGCCTTCTTCAAACTTTCGATTTTTTTTATGTGGTTTTGCACATGCTCTGGCTTCAAGAACACTCCAGACTGATTAATCCAATGAGTTAAGATCGGGTGAGCTGGGTGGCCACCCAGAAAACGAGATGAATTCCGGGAAGGTCTTTGAACAAAACTCTTGCACTTTCTTTGCCTTTTGAGCCGGCGCATCATCCTGTTGATAAGTCCAAATTCGATTTTTGAAGTGGTAACCATAAAAACAGGTAAGCAAAAAGTGAAATGGGACTCATAACATAATACGACGTTGTTGCGGTAATTCTTGGTCACCCTGTATAATAAAAACTTGATATAAAGTAAACCTCTATACAACGTAAACTACAGGATGACCGCGAATTGTGGGAACCGCACCGTAGCGTGTTTTCGGTCACTTTTTACGATTCCTAGCCATTTATTCTGGGTTTTTTTGTGTATTCTCTTGTTCTCATGTTGTCGCGTTTGTTTGCTAATTTATATTTCATCAATGAGATTATTTCTAGGTAAGGTCAAATCTTCGCCACATCGGCAAGCAATCATTGAGCTTTTTCGAAAGCCTATCCGGCATGGAAGATTGCGAAGCGCTTGGGTGTTTACAAGAGTCTTGTATCTCGAACCATTAAACACTATCGAGCCTTGGGAACTTTTTCTGACAGACCAGAAGTTCTTGTTCAATTGTGGCTACGCCGACAAATATCAAGAAGGTGCGCGAACGCTTGAGGCGGAACCCTAACCAGCCAGCAGGAGGAATCGCACGGAAAATGGGACTCAGGGGAACTTCTGTTAGCAAAACCATCAAGAAAAGCTCAAATTAAAGCCCTACAAGAAGAACAAAGCACCAATACTTTTAGTGGCCAGAAAGGACAAACGAAAGGACCGGTGGGATCAGCTTTTGAGAAGATTCAACGGAATTGGTCACCACAATATTCTCTTTATTGATGAATTTTTGAGAAATCACTGTGTAAACTTTTTCTACGAACTTTCTTGTCAACATAATAGTTATAGTTTAAAAAGTCCCTATCGAAAATCATTCACCATTTTTGCTTAAGGCATTTTCAAAGACCCCTTTGCGATAGCTCGGTGGTCTAGTGGTTAGTGCCAAGTTTTCATAAACGAAGGATCAGGGTTCGATATCTTTTGGAGCATTTTCAATGCTCATAAGCAATTTTTCCATCATATTTGGACGAGATCGGTGATAAATTACTTAACAAAAGAGTGTGGCACAAAGGATTGCTTGAAAGAGTGTAAGATTTGACCCAAAACCTGCCAGAAAGCGAAAACAGATAAAAAAACGAAAAAGGCAAGAATATATTGCCCGGTAGCAAATGCCACAAAAAGAAAAGAAAGGTGTCAAAACAAAAAGGAGATTTCTTTTTCGATTGATAAATGACATCGAATGAAACATTTGCTCAGGGCTTGAGATCCCTGCGCTTTCAATTGTACGAGAAAATGAGCCTTTGAATGGTGGACGATTATCGATAAAAACTTTTCAAACTATAGCTAATATTCTATTTTGCCAATAAAATGGACTCTGAAAGTTCAATTTCAATTGACAAGGTGGTTCTCGAATCGATTGGGAAAGGAGCTTATGGAAAGGCTTTTCTACTAACGATCGCTAATCAGTGAGTCAAGTTTTAATCTGCTAAATCAAGAGTTGACAAAACATTGTCTATTTTTGTTGTTTAAAGTTTTTGAGCTATACAGCAAACTTTGCCCAACATTGGTGAAACTTAGTTGTCTTTAAAAGCTTTGGTTTAAAGCATCATCTTAAATGCCTGCTAAATCAATCGTTGACAAACTGGGTCCCACTGGGTCCCACTGGGTCCCACTGGGTTAAAAAGTTTTGGTTTAAATCATCATCTTAAGTGCCTAACGCCCGGGCTATCTTGTAAAGTTGAGTAAACTGTTTTATTTTTTCAGAATTCTTTGCTTTTTGTTGTCAAAGATACAGTAGAGACCTTAAAAATTTGTAACCTTTTCAGAAAACGATTACTATTCTGAAGGGATTTTCAGGAAAATTGTCATGAAAGTGATTCACCGAGAGCTCAATCTCTCAGAACCACAAAAAGAGTTGACGATCTTGAAAGAATTGGTTCATCCGAATATTGTCCAGTATTTGGATCGTCCAACCGATTTTCATCATCACCTATCAAGAGAAGCTATTTTCATGGAATACTGTGCCGAGGGGTCACTTAGAGAACGTGAGTTTTAAATTTTCAAAATTTTAAACCAATTTTTGTAGTAATCACAAATCCCGAATTGAACTATACAATCTCGACGATTGTTCAATGGGCTGAGGAAATTTTTTCGCCGATAGCTTGTCTGAAGTCGAAATCGATCGCTCATCGGGATATTAAACCGGAAAAGTAACAAATTAGATATTGTCAAAAAAAAAATGAGTTTAAGCATCTTTGTCGATAGCGATTTTCATCTGAAAATTGGCGATTTTGGCCTTGTGAAAGAGTTTGGATCGAGTTCTTCAAGTACAACCAATCACACAATAGTTGGAACGAGGAGATATATGATGCCAGAATTGAGGGATGGATTGGAAATGAGTATCGAGGTAGAGTTTGGAATTTTATGCGAAATGCAAGGCACAATGGTTTCTACTCAACATTTCCTAAATCTTTGGCTTGATTCATCAGGTGTGCGTTGTTCCAATCTAATCGCACCCTAGAATTGTTAGCCAAGCAAGGCCAGGTCAAACCAGAGCCAGGTCCAGGGTACTTTAGTAGTAAAACTTAATAAAACTCATAGTTAGCCGCACCAGAGCTGTAGAAAAGAGAAAAAAACCAGGACCAATCAGGCCCTAGGCTAGTAAGCCAAACAATTTCAGGTCCAGTGTCTGTAGTTTGACAGACATGGACTTTGGCTTTGACTTTGGTCTCCGGACCCTATCTGGCCCGGCAACGCCCGGGAATTTGACCTTAAACAATAATGTTTCAGAGCATCTTCAAGGGTGATGTTTATGCAGCCGGGTGGGTCCTTTGGGAGCTGATCAGGAGAAAGCAAGTTTAACAATGAGTGAAGTAGCAAAACGGATCTTTTTAGAAATCTTGGTAAAGAGACGGAAATTGAATTCCCATCTACGAATTGTCCAAATGTTAATGTCGAAATCCTTCTGGACACGATTCATGAGTCTGTTCATATTGAAATGAGTAGTCGAATCGCTTTAGATGCTCAAGTTCAAAATTGGGTGTTGCACGGCGATTGGGCGTTGAAGAAGCACTGAAGAGGATCACTTCGATCAAAGGGGTTGCTTTTGAAACCATTATGAAGCAGATTACAATAAAGTGAGCCATTGATTAAGCCTCTTTGGTCACACAAGTTGACATAGGTTACCCAGGTTTAGGCCTTATTTTAATGTTTTTTCGCCTGGGGCAACCCATTGTTTATGTCTCCGAAAGTTGACATAGGTTACCCATTTTCCATTGCCTCTTATCAGGTGGGGGAAAAAGATCGATGGTGATAACAGTAGAGTGCCCGATAAAGATAGCATCTGCCATTTCATTACATCACTCAGTTCATGTGGGACCCACACAAGTTGACATAGGTTATCCAGGTTTGGGCCTTATTTTAATTTGTAGCCCATAGATTGAAGACGACGGCCACTGAAGTTGCGCACTGTTTGTTGTCTTCGTGTATAAGAGTTAGATTGGATTCATCAAGACCAGTCGGTCGGCCAGATCTCGGCTGATCTTCAAGAGAGGTCGTTCTTTTGAAAGCGATGATACCAATTGTAAATTGTAACTTCTGTTTGGCCTCAACATGGCTGAGCAAGTCTTAATAAAGCTATTGTTTAAATGCATAACTGTATGAAGTCGTACCCCGGTTTTAAGACTATCGACAACGTTATCGATAAACAAATCTAGTCAATTGTCTGTGTACTGATAAGAACAAATCTTTTTCAGCTTTTCCCCGACTTCGAGGCTTTACCCGAAAAGCGGCGAGATCAAAAGATTCTGCAACATCCCGAAGGATTTAATTGGATCCAGATTAGCTCATTGACTCCACCGGGAGTTCTTTTCGAGCTCCAAGACCAAAAAATCCATCAAGCTCCCGAAGAGGCTAAAATGATCCAAAAGAATCCAATGCAAATTCATACGGATTTGCTCAAAGTTTTGCAAGAGGTTATGCAAAAAATGATTAAAACTGGCTTTCAGAATCTGACAATGGGCAGAGGGCCAAAAGTGTCGTCGGTGAGATACGGTTCTTTGAGATTTTGTGGGATTCCCGAGAATTTGGTGGACATAAATTTGATACGAGAAAATCTATGCAGCAATTTCGTGAAAGTCGATGTCGAGCTGGAAAGTATGGATATGCTGGCTAAAGAAATTAGAGACCATTTGAGTTTGTACTCGAACAAATTTCAGGCCGAAAGTGTGGGCATTGCGGCGAACTTCCTGCAAGAGTCATCGAATAGTGAGCTGCGGAAAAGAGCGCTGAAGAAATTATCTCGGCTGGTCACTTTTGACTTTCATCTGCAGGATTTTACATTCCAACTGGCTATTCGAGCACTCTGGCACTGCGATTCGCTGAATTTCACATGGGTTGAGCTGTTGGATTTGTTGAGAGCCGTCCTTTGCAATATTGAGCAACTCTCAAAAATCTTTACCAGAAGAAAACGATATCAAATATTTTACTTCGAAGACTCGAGGAATGATTGGTGTATGGAAAGTGGTTTGGCATTTAAAAAGGATTTGAGTGAGGTGCGGCCGTATGATGAGAAGTGGTTTTTACAGCAAATCAGCCAAACGGCGACAATTGACATTGAAACTGTGCGAAGGGCTTTACATAGCAGAATCGCATTCGTTGAAAAATATTCAACTAACGAGAAAAAAGAGGTCACAATGGGTTTCATCAAATTGGAGCACTTTCTAGAATACGCAAACCGTGAAAAGATTGGATCTAGAAATTCAATTTTGAAATTTTTCAAATGCTACAAACCAAAATTTTTCCCGAATTGTGAGACTTTAATCGATTTAACAAAAAATTGCCCAATCTCCTCCCGTTTCTCTGGATATATCTACTTTTGCGATTGGATCATTTGTGGGGGATTTGAGTCGTTTCTCTGTGAATGTTCTCCAAAATGCGAGCTGCTCAGCAATCAAAAAGTGGCTCCAAATGAGAATTTGAGACTGAGCTTTTCAGCTTGTCGAAGGGATTTCTATGAGTCTTTCTTAGAAGTTCATTCACTTTTCGAGAGAGCTTTTAGGTTAATGAATGGATGGGAAAATGTGGGAATGACGAGGAGTTCTCATTTGTTTTTGATTGAGAAGCTTTTGAAAGAGATTGAATCGAAATTTTGTGCTTCTTACGGATTCTATTTTCTTTATGTAAAAGGAATGGGGAAATGGGAAAAACCGAGAATGTTGAAATCGACGATGAAAAATGATGGGAAAATCGAGGAAAGCCTTGGAGAAGGATTGATCATTGCAACGAAAGGAAAAAACGCGCTTTGGATGAGAAATTTCAGATTTGGTCCGATAAATGGGGAAAGTTTACTTCAATATATTGGATTGGTTTACGTGAGTCTTTGGGACATTCGGAAAATATTGGGAATCATTCACGCGTACGTGTGGAGCTTGGAGAAATGTGGGTTTTGTTTTTGTTGGTTTAGAAAAGGATAACAGTGAGAAATGTTTCGGTGAAAGTTAGTTGCTGTAGAAAAAAGATAAAGCTTACTACAACAATTAAATATTCAGTTGATTTGTGGTTCCGATATGGCACTAACTTGACCGATAACCGAGTTTTATTCTCAATCAAAGAAAGCAAAAATGATCAAAAGCTTTTTGATCATTTTCCTTTTGCAAATGTCCAGATGCAAATGTCCAGATGCAAATGTGCAAAGTTTGTGGGCGAGGTCGACTTTGTATGTCCCAGAAGGGCAGTGACAGATCTGGTTTATCGACATTTTTTGTAATTTATTAGGTGGTCCGGAAATAAATGAGCGTTTTCAACTTGAATATTTAAAATCCCATAACTTGATCCAAACAAAACTTTATTAATCGAAATAAGAACCATCACAATTAACACATTCTTGCCAACGAGAAACAAGTTTATTTATGCCGGTAGCATAGAAGTCCGGGCTTCTTGTGTGCAAAGTTTGTGGGCGAGGTCGACTTTTGTATGTCCCAGAAGGGCAGTGACAGATCTGGTTTATCGACATTTTCTGTAATCTAAAGAGAAAAACTGTTAATAGTGTGAAAAGAGATCGAAAAGCTCTAAAAAAACGCAAAAAAAGGGATAGAGGGTCGTATTCCTTTTCAAGTTTCCCATAAATGTTAGTGAAAACGTGGGAGTTTTGTCGTGGAACTGTTTTAGTTGCGTTCGTTATGGTTTTTTTCTGTCGACAAAGCAAAAGAAAACTAGGATACTCTTGTAAGACTAATCTTTCCTCTAGTTTTTATCCAATCTATTTACTTTTGATATCTTTAAGGATCCTTTTTGAACCCTCATAAAATCAGACAGAGAGTGCAATAGATATGTCGTAGCCGATTATGAATGAGTGTGTCTAGGAGCGTCCAATCATCAAGTATTTAGTATCATTCAACACAAAATCATTAATAATTATGCTAGATTTTTTTAATTAGAAAGATTGGATAAAAAGAAAAAAAAAAATAATGGGACTTCAAAGTTTTCTCTTAAACAAACAGTTTTTTTGCTCTAACTTTTTTTCTTTTTATCCAATCTTTCTAATTAAAAAAATTTAACATAATTATTAATGATTCTGCGTTGAATGATACTAAATACTTGATGGTTGGACGCTCCTAGATGATTGGAGGCTCTCCTAGATGGTTGGAGGCTCCCACTCATTCATAATCGGCCACGGGGGTCCCGCCGATTTTGAATGAAACGTTGTAGCGCCGGCAATTTTTAACCTAAATTCACATATTTGGTACCAATTGACGCAGAATTTAATTCGATACAAGATGATATAATATTGTCCTCATACATTAAAGGGTTGCTCTACTAGAAAGATTTGCCAAAAAATTTCATTCGTAATCGGCTACGACAGAGAACCCTCATAGAGTCAGACAGAGAGTGCAATAGGTAAAATGAATGAAACAGCTGCAAGATTACAGTAGTTTTCAAAAAAATTGACACATTTTAGAAAACTGTATTGGTTAAAAGGTCCATAGAGAGTCTAACATTAACTTTAGTGGACCCAGTGGGAACGATCGAAAAGAACAACTACTTACAAGACATGGAAGAAGCGATAAAGGAATTTTGGGAGAATAGAGTGATCATCAAATGAGTTCATGACTTATCTCCTGCTATTTTTACTTGCTCTTGTTTTCTTTGATTTCATGCTTTCAGCTTGTTCTCCAGCTTGTTTACTATTAGTTTCTAGGCTTTTAAAAAACTCCACATTTTGGGATGGCACTTTATTTTATAGAGAACTTTATTTTAAAATTAGATTTATCTTTTTATAAACTGCTGAATCCTTTTGGGAATTGGGAAAGTGACTTAATTTGGTAATTAATTCAAATTCCGTTTTGTAAAAGTTCAAAGCGCTTTTTGATGCCCAAATATAGCTTTTACTAGACATATTTATCGATACTCGATAAGATAAGAATCCTTATTGATCTTATCGATATCGATACTCGATAACGCTTAAGCGAAGCGAAAGATATCGATATGAATACTGGATAAGCCTTAAGTGAAGCGAACCTTATCAATAACGATCGATAAGCCATCGATAATCAAGGCTCATTTTGCTCATTTTCGCCAATTTATTTGAAAATTCAAAATTTAGTGCCACTTTTTGGATTTTTTAGAGAAAACTTTTCAAGCGTTACAAAATCTCAAAATCAGTTTTACAAAATCGCATAAAATCTCAGATACTTGATATTATTAATATCGATACTCGCTGAGCTTAGCGAGTATCGATAGGTTATAGAGTACTCGATAGCTTATTGAGTATCGATAGCTTATTGAAGACTCGATTCGCTTCGGTTCGCTTCGCTTATCGATAAAGATCGATAGCTTATTGAGTACTTTTTATAAACAATCTACTGAAGCCCTTTGTTAATTGAGAAAGCAAAATTGATGTTGTGATTGAAAAGTATCAACTTGTAAAAGTTCAAAGCACTTTTTGATGACCAACTATAGCTTTTACTGTCGGAAATTGTGCATTAGATTTGTAAATGGCTTTTGTATATTGTAAATATTTATACATAAAGAGGATCACGAGATAAACAATAGACAAGCTACAAAATCCCCTCA